CCTTCAAAGATTTGTAGACAAGGTTGAGAAACATCGACTGTTTGGCACACAGTGCCAATCCTGGATCCAGCAGTTTCCTACAAAAATATATAGTCCACAATGCTAATATCTGCTGATGATTAAACTGAAAGCTACTGAATCAAGTTGGGAACATAAAACAAAACTATGAGTTATGTTCTACATACTGACTACATTTGATTACACATAGTATAGTATTATTTAACCATCCTGGTATGATGCAAACAGTAATTTACATTGCATTAAAAGTTATAATGACTTCAATTACAACTTTGAGTGTTCATTCCCAATAGACACTTTCAACCTTGACTTTTTAAAATATTTGAATCAGAAGTGGAAATGAATTGAAAAATTAGAGACTCACTTTTAAAGCCAAGGCTCAATCCTTCTGTATCTAATTTTAATCAGAAGGAAAAACCTCAGAAGAGTTAAAAAATAGTGGTGAGCAAAAGACAGTTCTTCAAATCTTGCTGGATTTTAACTCCTGGCAATTTTCACCTCTCTACTCTAGATAGAGGTCATAGAACCTACTGTCCAACACATGGATGGCCATACATTGCCCATCCCAATTTAAAAAGCAGATAATCTTTAACACCAACTACTTTGCCCCAGCATTATATCATGTCAACAGACTGATTAAAGCATGCCTGCACCATCTGTAGCCCTCCGGACGTTTGGGACTCTAGCTCCCAGAAGACCTAGCCAACTTGTCCAATAGTAGGAAACTGGGAGCTAAGTCCAAAACACCTGGAAGACCACAGATTGTGCAGGCCTAACTTAAGGAATCTGCTTGGGATATTATTACAGGTATAAAGATGTCAAAGAAGCACTATTTTCATACCACCAAAGTATATTCACAAATAAATGCATTTAATGTCAAGACATCTGTAGTCAATAATTTCTATGCCTAAAAATGCAATGTCCCTGAAGTAGCATTGTATATGAGTCTTACTTGTACAAAGCTGTGTAATACCGGTCAGACACAGTCTGATTCGAGTCCATCACTTGGAACAGCAACATCAAGGCCTGGATGCTAGTGCTGAAATTCACAAGATGCAGAACTTTAAACAAGGTATCCATCTCCTCCTTTATTTTGTTATCGCTAGCCCGAGCATAAGGGTAAGCTCTGTTCACTCCTGTCAACAGAGCACTAAGCATTTTAGACTCAACATCTTTCTTCTTGATGCAAGACCGAAAAAAGGAAAAGTAGAGCATTATGAGCTTGTTAGCCAGTTCACATTCCTCATGACTCAAAACCATCTGGTTCAAAAAGCAAATTGCATAATACTGAGCTTTGGGGCTTATATTGGACCGGTAGAGAAGTCTCTCTACCTCATTACACACCACGCCTTTCATGTTGGGATGTTTATGAAGCAATGTCTCTAGAAGATAAGATGCTTTCGTGGCTACTTTGTTTTGTGGATCTCCCAATTTATTCACCAATTGCACAAGGAAAGCTTTCTCTTGCTCTACTTTGTTACAGAGAAGTTCATGAGCAACAGAAAGTGCACGGCCCTTTGTTGCCACCAAGGGGTCATGAGTCAGTGATTCTAGCACTTCCACAAATTCAGCTACCCAGTGCTTCAAATGATGCTCGAAGTACCACAAAATCAGGCGCCTGTCCCTTGAATCCCTGTTGCCACTCGCCAACTGCTCCAGTTTGTTGAAAGGATGCTGAGAGAAAATGTACAGCTTACGACTGTCTGGTAGAAGATGCGTAATGAGAAGCTCTTTGAAAGTGTCCAAAGCCATTAAGCTCTGTCTTCTGCTGCCTTTCTTTTTGATCAGATTCACCAGAGTTTCTATAAACTGAAGCGAGTGAACAGCAGCATCCTGGATAAGAAGGGTCATGGCAGCCATTCGGTCGGCAAGAGTGCCAGATGACACTACAGTTTTCATCCACGCAGAAGATCCTTTCTGCAAATTAGTTTTGTTCTTATACAGATCTGCTTCCTGTTGGTACAGCTGCTGGGCCAAAGCCTTGTAATTAGAAACAAGAGATGGATTCTGGAATTCGGTAGAAAATTCACTGGTATATTCCAGATCATACCATTTGCCTCCTGGTTTTATCAGCAATGCCTGTCGTTCGTAAAACTGAAAAGTTTCATCTTCCTTTGCTTTCTTTGTTCCAAGTGACAAAACATTCTTCTCATTACTACTAGAAACCTGCTTTTTCTTACTATCTTTTGCATTACCTGTCTGTGTTTTCTCTGTATGTCCTTTCACTATTTTTTCTTTTTCTTTTACTTCAGGTGTTTTCACTTTTTTTGGTTTCCCTTTTTCTTTTGGGGGTGTTTTTTCTTCTTTTTCTGCTGCTGCTCCCTCCTCTTCTTCTTTGTTTTCCACTACAAAGAGTTTCTCTGAATATTTCTTCACACCTAATGAGTTTACAAAAGCCTCCAGTTCACCTTGGTTTAGATCATCAATTGCTCCTTTTTTGCCTCCATCCACAATTTCTTCTGTCTCATCCAAAGCAGCAAGCATAATATAGTCTTGCTGTATAAAACAAAGAAAAAAATGTTAGGGTGCTTCATTAACAGAAATGACATAACATAATATTTATATATTTAATTCCTTGCCTTTACTCCTGGGATATCATTGATAATAACCGGCCAAATCACATATGAATATACCATATATCTGAGCTCTTGAATTCAGAGCAAACAAATAAGCTTCTTTATGTCACTGAAGACATATGCATAAGGCTGACAGAAAGGTGAGGAATTCCCTTAACAGAGGGCTGGAATCTCAATAAGAAGAATAAGCAAAAAAGGAGTCACCAGGAATACAGAGGAGGTAGTGGTTTGTAGTCAGTGTTATGCATATAACCAGTAGGATGAAGTAGTAGTCAAGACCACTGTTTCTTAACCCCAAATGGGTTCCCCCTTGGGGTCACAAAAACATTGGCAACAGTAAAAGGTTTTTTGAATATCACCTAGGTCCTAATGGCTGTTTTAGACATTTACATGAATCTGTTGTGCAATGTTTACAGCAGAAAATGCTTCAGCTGTACTTGATAAAAAGGAAAATTAGTCTGTTTAGCAAGCCTTGCAAATCCTGCTTCATTATCAGTAAATGTTTGTTTTTCTATACCTACTTTATATACCTAAATTCCTGAGGTCGTGTAAACATTTCTCAGGTGGAAAGTAGTCACAAGTGGAAAACATTTAGAAAGTCCAGGTCTAAGCAGTACATTTCACACTCTCCCCACTTTCTTGCAAGTGTGCAACGCCAACTCCAACAAACACAACAGTTGATTCATTCACAGCTTTTCTGCATGTTTTAGTAGGTTAGGACAGTCAAAGTGTTGCTCCTAATCCATTATACCATAACCTGACAATTTATATCAACTGTATTTTAGCCCCCTCTCCATTATTTAAGAAAACTGCTGCAAAAGTCTGTCCTTAAATCTTACCATAAATAATAAATATAGTAATGGTATTACTATGAATATATAGATATTCTCAGAAAATGAGAGCTTTTCTTTCTATCCTCGTGGAACTCAGGCTCTTGTACTGAGTAACTGGTCAGTTGTGAGACATAGAAACATAGAACTGGAAGAGACCTCAGTCCAACCCCCTGCCAAGAAGCAGGAAAATCGCATTCAAAGCACCCCTGGCAGAAGGCCATACAGCCTCTGTTTAAAAGCCTCCAAAGAAGGTGCTTCCACCACACTCCGAGGCAGAGAGTTCCACTGCTGAACAGCTCACAATCAGGAAGTTCTTCCTAATGTTCAGGTGGAATCTCCTTTCCTGTAGTTTGAAGCCACTGCTCCACGTCCTAGTCTCCAGGGCAGCGGAAAACAAATCTGCTCCCTCCTCCCTGTGACTTCACCTCACATCATGTCTATCTCAGCCTTCTCTTCTACAGGTTAAACATACCCAGCCCTTTAAGCTGCTCCTCATAGGGCTTGTTCTCCAGACTCTCTATCTTTTTGGTCGCCCTCCTCTGGACTCATTCCACTTGTCAGCATCTCCCTTCAATTGTGGTGCCCAGAATTGGACACAGTGTAATCCCAGGTGTGGCCTGACCTAGGCAGAATAAAGGCCTAGCATGACTTCCCTGAATCTAGACACTATGCTCCTATTTATGCAGGCCAAAATCCCATCAGCTTTTTTATACACCGCATCACATTGTGCTTAAGTGGCTGTGGGGGGAAAGGAAGGGGCCTGAGGCTTTTAGGAATTGTGGGAGTTGAAGTCCAAAACACCTGGAAGGCCCAAGTTTGCCCATGCATGGGTTAAATGGGAATAGATTAGTTATTCAGTCCTGCCTAACAGGGAATTGAACTAGGGATGCATCTACACTGTTGTAATAATGCGGTTTGACAGCATTACAAGGTCTTCAGTCTTCTCTGCCAGAAAGCGCAGCTACATTCTAAAATTAATGCAGTCTGACCACACGGTAAGTGGCAGGAGTCCTGGAATTTGTACTTCGGTGGGGACAGCATGGCTCTGTGTCAAAAGGGCCTTGTAAAACTACAACTCCCAGGATTCCACAGGACTCTTGTCCCAACACGTGCTTCTTCCCCCTCAAGGAAGCCCACGTGTTCTGTATCTAGCACACACACCCTTTTCCCAGCCCCACTTTTCGCTCACTTTGGTCCCGCCGAGGCGCAGCACCTCCTCCAAGGTAAACCCGCTTCCATCGTCGGCGGCGTCTTCCCCGTCGTCCTCCTCAACGCCTTTCGAGTTGCCTTCCCGAGGCTCCATCTTCCCCGCTGACTTAGCGCATGCGCCAACCCGTCTTCCGGGTACTGTGTGTCGCGGCCGGCGACGACTTTCCGAGGGACTAAGGTCCTGCAAGATACGTTTTTAAAACAAAAGACGAAATAAATTTGTGTGAAAGCAACAGAGCGAAACATACTCCGCTCTTGTCATAAAAGACAAGGCGCGTGACTGATAAAAGGCATGCTTTAAATTGCGGACTCATTGGAGGGGTACATGTTAACGAAAGAAACGCTGTACATAGCTGTCAGGACCTTCCGGAGAGGTGAAAGGGTTAGAGCAGGCTTCGAGTGCGGGCATCGGCATGGGGCTCGCACGCGCCGGAGGAGCATTCCTGAGAGCCGCGCGCTCTCGTTTCCATGGCAACGGGGTGGGGCGGAGGCCGCAGCTCCCAAGTAAGCACAGGAGAAGGTGGCCAGCTCCACTCACTGCAGACTGGGAGCCCTCTCTGTCTTCCCTATTTGGCCTCTTAGGCCTCATGAGTCACATGGGACCATTTAGTTCAGGGTTTCCCAAGCTCTGGCCTTCCAGGCGGTTTGGACTTCAACTCCCAGAAACCGTGATTATTGACTAAGGGAGCTGAGGCTTCTGGGAGTTGAAGTCCAAAAAACCTATAGTTTGGAAGAGCGCCCCCTCTCCAGTGTAGGAGCTCTGAGGGTGCTTGAAGCACATTGAATCGGTGCTTGGCAGCTGTGTGGGACTGGATGAGGGCTAACAAATTGAAATTGAATCCAGACAAGAAAGAGGTCCTACTGGTCAGGCCAAACAGGGCACAGGGTTACAGCCTGTGTTAGATGAGGTTACAGAATCTTGGTGGACAGGAAAAGAGATTTAAAGATGGGCTCAATGCCAACCTTAAAAACTCTGGCATAGACTGTGAGAACTGGGAGGCCCTGGCCTTTGAGCACTCCAGCTGGAGGTCAGCTGTGACCAGCAGTGCTGCAGAATTTGAAGAGGCACAAATGGAGAGTGAAAGAGAGAAACGTGCCAAGAGGAAGGCGCATCAAACCAACCTCGACCGGGACCACCTTCCACCTGGTAACCGATGCCCTCACTGCGGGAGAAGATGCAGATCAAGAAGAGGGCTCCACAGTCACCTACGGACCCACCAGAATACCGATCCTGGAAGACTATCCTACTCGGCCAACGAGGGATCGCCTAAGTACTCCCCCTGAAGATGCAGGTTTGCAGCCTGGAACCCCAGGTCTCCGCAGTGGCCGGGAGAGCTTTTGCACAATTAAAACTTGTTCGCCAGCTACGCCTGTACCTTGGGAAGTCTGATCTGGCCACAGTGGTCCTCGCTCTTGTTACATCCTGAATAGATTACTGCGATGCGCTCTACATGGGATTGCCTTTGAAGACTGTTTGGAAACTCCAACTAGTCCAATGGGCAGCAGCTAGACTACTCACTGGAGTGACGTACAGGGAGCACACCACCCCCTTGTTGTGTCAGCTCCACTGGCTGCCGGTCCACTTCCGAACACAATTCAAAGTGCTGGTCTTGACCTATAAACCCTGTACAGTTCTGGTCCAGCATACCTGTCTGAACATATCTCCTTATACATCCCACCTCGGAGTTTAAGTTCTTCTGGGGAGGCCCTGCTCTCAGCCCTGCCTTTGTTGGCGGGGACGAGGGACAGGGCCTTCTCCGTGGTGGCCCCCCGCCTGTGGAATTCACTCCCCGGTGAAATTAGATTATCGACATTCCTCCTTTCCTTTAGAAAAAAGTTAAAAATGTGGATGTGGGACCAGGCCTTCGGGTAATCTTGCTGATAATGACAGTGACAATGATGACAATAGCTATGGAAATTGACATGCTAACTACAGAATTTGGCTCAGTTAAGGCCACCAGGCTGTGATTGAAACAGAAACACATTTTAATTAATTAATGTGATTTAATGTTTTAAATGTGTGTAATTATTGGATTTTATTATGTATTTTATTACGTGTACATTGGAGGCATCGAATTGTTGCTGGCTGGAAGCTGCCCTGAGTCGTCGTCGTCCCGTCCCGTCCCCCCAGGGGGGATTGTGAAGGGCAGGGTACAAATATCTGAAATAAATAAATAATAAATTCTACACAGATATGGGCAAACTTGGGCCCTCCAAGTGTTTTGGACTTCAGCATCCAACAGTAGGGCTTATAGCAATGCTTTCAAATGGCAGCAGTATTAGAAATATCCATTTTTTCAGATGCACTAATAGAGATGGCTAACCAATTTTTTTTTTACTGCAGGTTGTTCCAGTGCCTTAAGATGCCAGTACTTTAGTTCAGAAAAAGCAGCAGAAAACAACGCCATGACTCCCATGCTGAAACATCTTGTGATGAAGATAAAGTCAACAGGCCCCATTACAGTTGCTGAATATATGCGTGAAGTTTTAACAAACCCTGTGAAAGTATGAATGTTGATGCAACTAAGTTTATACCTTAGCAGCTTTTAAGAAAGATCTGAAAACTTGGCTTTTCCGATGTGCCTTCAGAGAGTGACTTTCTAACCCAGGGGTCCTCAGACTTTTTAAACAGAGGGCCAGGTCACAGTCCCTCAAACTGTTCGAGGGCCGGATTATAATTTGAAAAAAACATGAATTTGAAAAAAACATAAATTCCTATGCACACTGCACATATCTTATTTGTAGTGCAAATAACACTTAAAAACAATACAATAATTAAAATGAAGAATAATTTTAACAAATATAAACTTAATAGTATTTCAATAAGTGTGGGCCTCCTTTTGGCTGATGAGATAGGATTGTTGTTGTTGTGTGCTTTCAAGTCATTTCAGACTTAGGTTGACTGAGTGAGAGCCGGATAAATGACCTTGGAGGGCCGCATTTGGCTCTCTGGCCTTAGTTTGAGGACTCCATTTGTTAGTTTTTCATCTACAGTTGTCCACATGATGCACTTTCCCCTACCCTAAATGAAGACCAGACCCCACTGCTCCTCCTCCTCGGACTCCTCCCTTACAAATACACTTTTCTATTTCGTATCTCTCCCAGGGTTTTAACCTTTTCAACATTTTATCTTGCACATTTGGCCCGCCTTTTATGTTTGATTATATTGTTATTTTGTACTGTCTATTTTGTTACATTATGTGTTTTGTTGTGTTTAATTTTCTGCTGTTTTTAATCTTTTGTTGTATTATTTTTGGGCTTGGCCTCATGTTAGCCACCCCGAGTCCCCTTTGAGGAGATGGTGGCGGGGTATAAATAAAGATGGTGATGGTGATGATGATGATGATTATACAGTTGAAACTGTTTTTATGACCCAGCTCCAGGTTACATTTCTTTCATTCAAAGCTTTCATTCAAAGCTTTGTGGGATTAACAACTCAGAACCACTGGTCGAATTGACACAAAATTTGGACACAATACACATATCAGCCCAACGGGTGACCATCACTCATAAAAACACTGAAAAACACAGCGGAAGAGACTTTAAAAGCCAAAAAAAAATACATTACAACGCATGCACAAAACCACTCATACACACACGTACACACACACACACACATATATACACACACACACAAAACACATATATACAGACTGGGCCACAGCAATGAGTGGCAGGGAACAGCTAGTAGCTAATAAGTACATTGAACTGTCATATCTCAAAATAATCTATGGAGTATAGTTCCTATACAGTCTGATTCCCATATCCACAGAAAACACATTCGTGAATGTAACAGTATAAGCAGAAAATTATGGGTAATAGTGAACTCTATTGAAATGAATTACTTCTCCCAGAAGTTATAGTTGCCCAGGAAAATCTCTCTAGGAATTTTGTTAGGTCCTCTAGGGCAACTCTAATTCAAAGCATAAAATTATCAAGACAGCCTAGATAATTCCTAGAGAGAATATTTTTGTCTGATGTGGATAAGTGAAACTAGGGTAGTGGTGCTGTGGGTACAAGGTAATTCAAGTGTCACATGGCTTGTATGATATAATATAATGCGTATTTATATCCCACTTCCACTCTCCCAAAGGGGACTCGAAGTGGATAACACTAAAAATCATACAATATGTCAATTGAAACTCAGAGCATACAAACATTAAAGTAGAATTAAACACAGGACTATTAAAATATATAGTTAAAACCAATAAAACCATTTAAAAACCAGTTAAACTGCATAAAACACGGCACCCCTGGCTTCATCTTAAAAACTTTTAAGAACATTCCTGAAAATGCTCAACAGACTTGCATCAGGAAGTAATGGCAAGTCATAATACATCACACTTGTCCCCATCTGGTGTAAGAATTCCTGTTCCTCACATATTGTACAGCTACAATAATACAGGAGTTTTGGCTTTTTCTAGCAGCAAGGAATAACGTGTTCCTGCTTAATGCAGGGTTTGGACCTTAGTGTTCAGATATTGGGTAAAATTCATCTGATAACATTTCTTCCATATATTTGTACCTTCTTTGGAAGAAAAAATATATCTGTGATCAAAAGCCTTTTAACAATATATTCCGATTATTTGGCCTTTAATCTATTCCCATTTGTATTAGTCTCAAAAAAATTCTTGACCTTCAGATAAATTATTTCCCAGGATCCTTTTTTTCTAGGATTAGATTTAATTGTTTCCCATAACTTTTATTGGACATCTGTTTTTCAGGAATGTTCACTGTAATGAACAGCTTTGGTCTTTTAGGGATAAAATGTTATAAGCCTCAACACCAGCATTTTTTTAACAAACTTTAAGCAGACAACTATGTGAAAATGAGCAAAGATTAGAAATTTCAGTAAAATCAAAGGGAAACATGCAGTAATCAGCTTGTTTGTTTCTGTAGGGCTATTATGTACAACATGACATGCTAGGAGAAAGCGGAGATTTTATTACTTCACCTGAAATAAGTCAGATCTTTGGAGAGGTATGTACAATTATTTCTTAATGTACGTGATGTGTAATGCTTATGTCTGTTACAAGTAATTGATCTTCTAGGTCCCATTGATATCTGATTAAAAAGCATTACTGTTTTGGATTCTTAGCAAGGTTTGTGTGCTATTTTTAAATTTATGGGAGGGTTTTGAAGAATTTGTTTCCCAATGTTTGTTCAATTTGCAATAAAAAATATCCATTTTCTGAATCTCACATTTGTTTATCCAACACCATTTCATTTGACAACTCTAAGAAATCTAACTATAATGACTTATCTCTGCAAGTTTTTGAAGAAATATCAATGTATTATATTTACTAATATTTTATGGCACTTAAAGGATTTATTATAATTTACTCTGATCTAGCTTATAAATTCAAACCATTCCATATATAATATAATTTATTTAAGTGAATTTTGAATGTGTTTATTTTCTACTGTCATCAAAAAGACATGATTTCTTTGAATTACTGTCTGTAGTCTTGGTAGTAGGCTGTCTCTTTTATTTATTTATTTGCGGTATTTGTATAGCATCCTTCTCAACCCCAAAGGGGACTCAGGGAGGTTCACAGTGTTGGCAACAATTCAACACCATTGATAAAAAGTATAAAATATAAAAATTGATGTCTTAAGACTGATCATATATATTATGCATGTCTATGATTGAATAGATATGATCCATCAATTTATAAATGCAATGTATTGTCGAAGGCTTTCATGGCTGGAATCACTCAGTTATTGTGGGTTTTTTCGAGCTATATGGCCATATAGCCCGAAAAAACCCACAAGAACTGAGTATAAATGAGTATAAATGCAATATAAACTGAGTATAAATGCAATATTTTTAAGGAATAAATTGTATCATGTTCATTTTCTGCAGCTAATAGGCATTTGGTTTGTCAGTGAATGGATAGCTAATGGAAAGCCGAATAAATTTCAGCTGGTTGAATTGGGCCCAGGAAGAGGGAGTCTTACCAGTGATATTTTACGGGTAAGTAAACAGTTATTTTCTCCACAACAGTATAGCCTAGTAACTTGCTTTTATATATATATTTATACCTGGCACATCACTTATCCAAGCCCTTTAACATTTCCATCTCATTTCTTTACACAAATAAAGTTTATATAAATGGGTACAAATAATTATATAAATTGACACTGTTGTATACAGATGGATAGCTAATGGAAAACCGAATGTAACATGATTTTGTGTAACACGATTTTGTTACTGGGTTATAAATGTTATTTCCTAATTGGTTCTATCATAAAAAACAGGGGAAAGGTTTATTAAACTACAAAAACTTTGCTTTTGTGGGACATCTTGCAGCACATTTTGCTATAAGTTTTGAATGATATTTCATCGAGTCTCAACCAATTCAGCATAGTTTGTGGAAGCCAGTAGTATAACAACTGGAGTATAACAACTATTTTCAAAGTAAGTACAGTTAGAATAACACTTTCAAACCAGGAACATCTTTTTTCTCAAATTTTTGGTTACATAGTGTAATTGAAATGCTTGTTAGAATCTTATATCTAAGCCCAAATCAGAAAAAAATCTATAGAATTGCTATACATTATCATACCTCTAATAATATTGTCTTCCGTTAATAAAGGTTTTTAATCAGCTGAATTCTTTACTTCATAAATGTGACATTTCTGTTCATCTGGTGGAGATCAGCTCCAAATTAAGTGAAATTCAAGCATCAGTTTTGACAGAAGGAAAGATAGAATTACAAGAGAGCTGCCTCACTTATATGCAAGGACTTACTAAAACTGGGTTGCCAGTTTTCTGGTACAGAGACTTGAATGATGTGCCAGGAGGTAAGATTTTGCTGGTTTGCTGCTTTTAAATTATTTTTAATAAGCATTAATTCTTTTATTACAGTTAGGAACACTTCTGAAATTGTAGGTAGAAGTTTGCATATGTTACTTAAATACAAATCTGGTTCTAAGGCTGTTTAAGAGTTATGATAATTCATACAATGATTCTAAATTAGAAATAGTGAAAATCCAAGATGGTATAAAAGTGGGAGATGCAGTTTTTTAATCAGTGGAATCTAATTGTCACTTTTGTTTTTCTCCCTAGGCTTCAATTTTTATTTAGCTCATGAATTTTTTGATGCTCTACCTATCCATAAATTCCAGGTAGGATACCAAGCACCCACATATTTTTTTTAATTAAGGAGCATATCTTATTTTAAAAAGAACAAAAACATAACCAAGTGAAGAAAAAGTAATGAATATGGATTTACACTCTAAAATTAATAAGTTGATAAAAGTAAAACAAAGTTAAATACAATTGGTAATATTTACTCTGCAATATTCCTATCGACTTCTTAATCTGCTGATAGAAAACTATCTATCTAAATTCATTAAAAAAATATTTTAGATTGGTATTCGGTGTGATACTATTTGCAAGATCTTTTAAAGGAATGTGTCTTCATTAAGAACTTTGCTTTTCTAGAAAAGAGTATTTACCACCTAAGTCACTGGGTTCAATAATGGAATTATGTAACTGTTAAGAGCAGTTTGTGTTGTCCATCCCCACTCTTTTGTGAAAAACATAAAACATATTGTGCCAATGACATATCCTTGTTAATACTTACAGCACTGTAACAATGCAGTTATTTGAGTTGTGAATTACAAGCAACAACATAATATCACAGACTTTGTAATTATGCTATAGTTACAAACTTAACATAACAGTAACTACATTTCACAGCTACAAGTACAGTTCACAGAAAATCATTGGTGCCATTTTCTACGACTGACACCTATTCAATTTCCTTGTATCAGAAATGACCAGCTCTACTAGCCATTCTGAAATAAGTTAATCATTCTAATTTTTATTTTCAATTAATAGAAAACAGAGAAGGGTTGGCGAGAGTTGTTGGTTGACATTGATCCAGAAGCGCTTGACAAGCTGCGATTCGTCCTTGCGCCATCTGCTACTCCAGCTGCAGAAGCCTTCATACATGTAAGTTGGATTATATAATTGCATTTCCAGGTTAAGCAAATCTTTCCATCCAGCTAATATTGCTGTTGTGTTACATACGCAGAGTTGACTATTTTTCAACATGTATTTTATTGACATTGTTGCTGCTGTTTCAAAAATGCTTAGATACAAACTTATTTTAATAAGATCATTTGTGTGCATTTATTCTACAAGCAAATTTATGGAAACTTAATTAGGAAAGCATCAGGAGAGGATTTTTTTTCTCATGACACCGGTGCTACAGAAAGTGTGTATATACTTTGGCAATGGTGTGTAGAATTTGTTTACCGTGTTTTAATTCAGTATACAAAATGCTTATCTAAAACAAACATTACTTCTTTCTAGATAAGTCTTAACAAGAGACCTTTTCGTACTATTATTGTCGAGCATGTTCCCAATATCTGCTCTCCTGCTGTGGGTTTTCCAGTAATTTTCCCCAAAGACAGTCCTAAGGATTTGCTGCTTTAGATTTCACCAAAGAATCCTGGAAATTAGAAAACTCGTGTACTCCATAAAATTCTGAACGACCTGAAACAATTTCCCATTTTTTTAAAATAACAGCAAAACCAATTTATAAGCACATGCGGAACATGGCTCTTATTTGTAGATGTTGTATGAATACAGTATTGTGTGGATGTTCTTCTCCCAGAGGGTGAATAATTTCCATACCTGTACTGCAACATAAATTTTAACCCATGAATTCTGTGTTAGGACAAAGAATCCAGAGATCATGTGGAGGTGTCTCCTGATGCTGGTGTCACTATCCAGAAGCTAGCCCATAATATTGAAGAGAACGGAGGAGCTGCGCTCATAATAGATTATGGACATGATGGGACCAAAACAGATACTTTCAGGGTAGGTTGATTTACCTAAGTGTCCTGGAAGTCATCTTGAGAGTATTAAGACAGTAATTTTAAATCTCACTGTTAAAAACAACTTTTGAGAAATGCAGTGCAGATTTGTGGCACTTTATGCTCATAATGTATATCTAAGGGAATGTAGCAATAGTTTCAGATTGGTGGTAGCAGTAGGGGAAATAGCCAAACTGCAGATTAAAGTAGTTAAAAAGGAAGTATGTTACTAATAAGTAGACTATCATCATGCTGTACTCCTATCTGTCGTGTGAAAGCCTTAGTTGACCAGATGAAACAGGATTTTTTGTTAATATATGGTTAAGCCATGTGCAGAAAAAAGCCATCCTCCAGACACGTGTCAGTTGGACAGGTACAGAGGGGTTAATTGTTCAGTGTGGAGGCTGGGTCAAGAACAGCATGCTTGCAACATATCCAGCCATGTCATGGTGACAAGCCCAAGAGTCATTTCCTGGGCTGATACAGAATTTGGCAAAGGGTATATAAGTTGGAAGCCATGTTACTTCTGTCTCTTTCTGAACTCGTCTCTCTGATCTATCTGTGCTGTGGGTATTGCTTACACATTGTTAAGTAATTAAGTAACAGGAGTTTTATGAGAACCACCAACCCTTTTAAAGTTCTTCCAGCAACAGCAAAATTATCCCTGTGGGCAGAAAAATTAGGCAATTCCAACTGGATGGCACCCTACAAGGGTCTTCCTCCAGGGGCAAACCAAGAATGGGTAATTTGGAAGTCCCTGAACAGACTCAGAAGTGAAGTTGGCAGATCAAGACAATCTGGCAAAATGGCACTACCTAGAAGAATCCTCCACCTTGTGCGATTGTGGAGAACAAACAACTCAGCATCTGTATGCTTGCTCACAATGCCCTGCCTCACGCACAGTGGAAGAACTATTTAAAGCTACAGACAATGCAGTTGCTGTTGCCCATTTTGGTCTAAAATTATTTAGCTGTTGGTGCTCCCATTATTTTATCAGTTTTAATATTTATTTATTTATGCAATGCTTTTGACATGAAATAAAGTAACGGAACAAGAAAATAAAAGTTGCCATCAAGGTAGCTTGATAGAAAAAGACTGTTCTAGAGTGATTAATTAAAAGCAGCAGCAGAGAAATATATAAACGCTTGCAGTGGCAAGTAAATAAGACACAGCAGATGAAGTCGGTCTGGCTAAATTTGTTCATGCCCCAGAAACATGCATTTGTTTTTGGGTGCTGCAGGTTAATCCAAGGGTCGGCTGAAACCCACATGCTCAGACTCCTGACATTTTTTCCTTTTCTTTTTCAGGGATTTTGTGGCCATAAACTTCATGATGTATTAACATCCCCTGGAATGGCAGACCTCACTGCTGATGTTGACTTCAGTTACCTGAAAAGAATGGCACAAGGAGTGGCTGCCTTGGGTCCTATAAAACAACAGGATTTTTTGAGAAACATGGGAATTGATATTAGACTGCAGGTAGGGAATCACCATTGTATCTAGTGAAAAGCCCTATTTAAGCATTCTGAAGTAGAGGTAAAGGTGTGAAGAGCAAGGGATATTCTAGCCCAGCCTCCCCTGTCATTACTACTCTCACATGAAGAGCAATTGTCTGAAGGATATGTAAGCAGTCCCCAGGCAACAAACAAGATAGGTTCTGTAGGTTTATTTTTGAATTGAATTTGTAGCTAAATTGGAACAGGAACATTTTTAAGTGTAACTCCAGCCGAACTTTTTTTTTGTTTTGGAATGCATAGGGAAAGGTTAGCGCTCTTGCAACATTGGTTTTGCTATTCAGAAGGTTTCACTTTAATTTCTGTCCCTGTGAGTTGGATTTTGAACATTTTAGGTTGTCACAGAAACAAGGTGTGCTTAAGTTTTGGTGGAGACTTTTTCCCTTAACTCTTCTAGGAGTGAATTTCCCTTCCTAGAGGTAGATTTCCTCTGACTTACTGTTGTTTCACGAAAAATGTTTTTAATTAGGAGTCATATGTACATCAGTCAGATGTTTGTAATTCGGGGACTGCCTATACACATTTATTTATTTACCCTATTTATACCCCATGCATGAAGCCTCTCTGCATCATCTGAAACTGTATTTTCTAGCATTTCTGATCACATGGAGCACCTCAATGAATACAGGATGTTCTCTAGTTCAGATGAACATTCCACAATAGGCGAGTAACGATGATATGGGATAGGACTGCAGCAGTCCTCCCTGCTTCATTTTGCATAGCTCAGAATGGGGAGCAAAACTCATAATAATTTTAATTGTTAACACTTTTATTCAGCGTACCAAATGAAATATAATTGAAGTATTAAATTGGGATAGAAGGGTGCTGGTGACTCCTGGGATGAAAAATACTGTTAAGTAACAGTAATTCGTTTTTCTATTTAGGTTCTGTTACAGAATGCCAACGATGCAAATAATCGCAACCAATTGCTCCGAAGTTATGAAATGCTCATGGACCTGGATAAAATGGGGGGCCGTTTCAACTTTCTTGCCATGTTACCACCCAGTAGACTTGGGATTTCAGGCAAGGGAACAAAACCATCTGCTTCAGCATCTGTGGCTGGCTTTGGTGAACTTGTATGGAAGTGAACTCCCATCTCCCCACTTGATTTTTATTTTGGTGGTAAAAATGAAGGCTTCCCATATGATCCCCTGGGGAAACAGGTTACAAGCATCAAGTTATCATCAGTTTCTTATAAAACAATTGTGCCTGATTTTGTGAAAATTCTACATATTCAGTCACAATATAACATGTCAAATAGAAAAATATGGTTCTGATAGAACTAAAAGTTGACAGTAACCCCTGTGGGGAGGGTAAACAACACATTCAAGTTGGGAAAATGCATCTTGTTCCGAGATTATAATTGTACCATAAAGGTATTTAATAAAGTTCCGTTTTTATAATCATTTATTGTATTGTATTGTGTGTCTGTATTCTCTTTTGAGAGAGTCAAGTCACATGTTTTGAGCATTGGACTCAAGCATATGAACTGATTAAAGCCAGCTATAGCTGTGGAGACAACGATTCTCACATTATTGTTAACGAATGTGGGCAAATCTTTAGCTGGATGTTACTAGCTGTAATAATGGTGATACAGTTGAATCCTTTTTGATTAAAACTGTACTCCATAGCTGTGTTTACAAAGGATTCTGACACATGATGATCTGAGTCAGGAGAGAATATGGCACTAGAAAAGGACACACAATAGGGAAATAAAATTTATTTTCAAGCATAGAAGATATTTACAAACAATGGAACATACAAAAATATTTTAAAAGTACTTGACAGTGTCTTTTTGAGGCTACAAGTTTTACATGAATACCTTCTAGCGTCAATACAGCTCTATTGCTGAAATGAATGCAACTTAATTAAAAAAAACACAAAGAGTAATGATAATGCAACACTGGGTACAAATTATTCTGGAGCAATTGATTAATGCCAACCTTTCAGTGACCTAAAGCTTGGATTAATATTTTAGGCATTCATTGGAAGCTATGCATTTTATAGTTTGTAAAATGTGTTTAACAACTAGTACAGAGTAGAAACATTCCAGTTTTCTTTATTTGCAACAATGTTTCTATTCCTGTTCTACTGGTCCGCAGCCCTGCTTAAAACTAATTCAAGATGCATAGTATAAATCATGCCCGCTTGACCTTTTCTGCTGCTTTTCAAAATATCAAACACTGAAACTGATCTTAGTGTTGCACTCACAGGCATGTACTTAGTCCAGACTATGTCACAATGAGTATAAGACTTATTCTGAATATTTTAGATGCACTGTTCAAACTAGAAATTGGGGACGCATTTGATCCAGCCCTTTTGCTGCATAAACTTGCAATAGAAATTGGACATATTTGAACACTGTTATTTCTACAAGATGCTGGCATAACTTTATTACTTTTGCCCAAACACTCCTTGCAGCCCACTTGGAACAGACAAGGAATGCTATAAGGAGGAAAAACATTTATTGCAATCCACTGAGCAATTTACTAGAGCTTTCCAATCCAATTTACAGAAATCACTAGAAAGCAAGTTCCTGCCAACAATTGGCTCTTGACACCCATTTAATAGCAACATAAATGCACCAAACTTGTAGCTCACACCACCCACATACTGTAAATGGTGTTTTTGAACATGGGGTAGCAAAACATACAGATAAGATGCAGAGTCAATCTGAACCACTTTAAAAGAAAAATCCATCAACTGAGTAGAAAAACAGGATGCAAGAGCAAATATCAGAATTGCAGGCTCATGGTCACCTCAGTATTTTTAATGGAAGCAGACATTCAGCTGCAAAAAGTCATATACACACAATTATGAATAAAACCTTATTTACTCTGACTCATGTGACAACTATACTTTATTCCTTCCAGGGTTTACAAATCACTGTCTGAATCTGAAATTTTGCCATTAAGATCATAAGATCATCTTGCTGGATCAGATATTTGGTGGTTTATGTTGTCTAGCCTCCTGTTAACACAGGAGCCAACCAGTTGCTTATAGGATATGAGAGTAATACTGATCAATAGAGATTTTTAGTTTGGTGGCAATTTAATCAGTGCAAAATAGCATTAAAATGACAATATTTTAATTTAGATAATTGTGTAAGTTTTTTTCTGAAGCTTGGTACATTTTTAACCAGTCATTTGCATATTGCGTTCTTCCTGTTGTGTGTGTGTGTTATTTAAAAAAATAGTTCTGACATGGAACATCATTTCAAGAGAATCTTTGGTAGTGTCCACAGCATACAATAACAAGCTAAAACACAGTTAAGGACAAGGGAAGACAGCAGCATTTTACTGTTGGTCTTACAACAGCTGTTAAAAGCCATGGCCCAAAAGAAACTATACCAGGCTGCTCTAATGTTCTCCAGATGTGCTGGATTACAACTCCCATAGGCCGGCATGGCTAATGTCATAGCCATACTAGCTGAAGTTAGGTAAGTGTGATCTTTATATATATTGGTTAACATTAATCACTCTTTCCATAGTTTCTACTGCTGCTTTAACAGCCGCAATTGTGGCCTTCTCTCTAGGAAGAAAAATGCAGTGGGGAAAAATCACATTAAAAAACTTCTATCTGCACAGCTTGTTCAACATTTATCACTATTTGCTAAAAAGCATTCTCAAAATAGTGACAGAAGTTGATACAAAAGCTCTTCATCCCCGTTTAATGAGGTAACTGCAGTGAATAAAAATTTACTCACAGGTGCTGTGTCCTTCACAACTGAACAACTATGTATATTATTAACCTTCCCACACTCTATTCTTCTATCCCTTCTGGGTTCAAGTTAACTAGTTGTACCATTGTTGCCTATGCATTCCCTTCCCAATTCATAGAACATGAAGTACTACTCACAGAGTATCAAAACTTAATTTTTATGTTTGATCACTTCCCAAAAGGTGGTTGGGTAAAAATGTGCACTATAGAAATCACAGAGGAACAAGTTTATCCAGTACAATGTAAAGCCGATGATTCTGCACCAAGATTTAAAGGAAGCCAAAAGGGAAAAGACACTGCAATCCTGTCTCGCCCAATAGCCCAAAATATAAAACGTATTTTCAATGAAACCAGAGATTTCTAGCCATGTCCTTTTTAAAATATATACTCTTTCTATAGAAGAGTGACCAAAAGGTATGGAAGCCAAGCCCTATGAGGAGCAGCCAGGTAAGTTGAGCTTAAAGAAAAAAAGACTGAGAAGGGACATGATTAAGTATTTGAAAGGATGTGACATTGAGGAGAGGGCAAGCTTGTTTTCTGCTGCTCCCGAGACTAAGGCATACAGCAATGGACTAAATCTACTATAAAAGGAATTCACCTAAATATGAGGAAGAACTTGCTGATGGTAAGCTCTCAACAGTGGAATATGCTGCCTTGCATCATGGTGGAGCCTCCTTCTCTGAATATTTTTATGTAGAGGCTGGATGGCCATCTGTCTAGAGTGTTTTGTGCTTTCCTGCATGGCAGATGGTTGGACAGGATGGAGCTTGTGGTCTCTTCCAAACCATATGATTCTAAGCACCATTTTTTCCACCCGGTGGCAGTCTGTCCCTCTGTTAAATGAAGGCACAAAGTCTTCTGTACATTTCAAAGTCACAATGTCTGCCGCATTCTATTAGCTCACCATGTGTTACAGTTTACTCCTATCCTAATGAGCCATAAATGCAAAACACAGCTTGTCTATATTCAATAAAGATAATGTAAGTTTACCTCATGAGGCTGCTTTAATTAAGAGAGAGGAGCAAGATTTTACTATTAAAACCTTTTGACTTTTATCGCTCCCATCACTTTTATTGCTTTTCCACATCACACCTACTCAATAAATACCAGCATTTTGTATGGGCCATAACAATAAAACATGTAATCATTTGGTTCAGTTTCTCTGCAGCTTCCCAACACACGCATCTAAATACCAGAAAATAGTACTCTATGGCTTAATAGGTATGAAGTAGAAAACCATTACAATTGTTTCGTTGCGTAAACTACAAAAACAACCCTTGGAAAATTCATAAACAGCAATTCACTGTGCATTTCATCTTTAAATAACATCACTGTGATGTACCAGTAAGGCAATGTTACACAAATACTTTGTGGCTATTCCCCCAGTGCTGGATTACATTATTAGTCAAAGATGCATAGGCTTTCCAAAGTATCTAGGCTACCCACAAACTGACTCAGGAGATCCTCCATTGCTCCTAAATGGAAGCTGAAGAGCAAAACAGGACACTTGCTCTGGAGAAACATCAGTATTGATTTAAGTGCCTTCCCCTTGATGATTCCTATGGGTCTTCCTCCATGTCATCTGGATTGGGAGCCATAATAAAATGCTTGGGGCACACAAGGTTGTGTTCATATGCATGTTCTTCCCAACGAGCATCATCGCTTTCATGGGTAATGTAACGTTCTCCAATGCGGGTTTCAAACTCCCGAAGATCAAGCCACGTTTGATAGTCCTGGGAAAGAGGAAGGTTTTGAGGGGGGGGGGGGTCAGAGAAATAAATGAATAATTAGCCATTATTAGCCTTTGAGATGTTATCTTTTTCTGAAGTTGCAGCAGGTAAATCTTTCTCCTTTACATCTGCCAGTGTTGCCACTTTTGAGATAAATCAATGTGATGGGCTAATAACGTGCCACCAAAATGGGAAGGAATAAATCAGGAAGGTGGGCAAAAGCACAGCAGCAGACTTAAAAGTACACTCCAGAACCAATTTTCATGTTCTCCCAAACCTTTCTTACCACAAAATTAAAAGCAAAGCAAACCTTCCTTACCCTGAGGATACAAGCACCACACCAAATGGCAAGTTTGAAGGTTACAAACTTCTACCTAGCTTGCGATACCCTAGCCATACCCAGTTCTCTCATATTCCATGTTGGAGCCAAGCTTAAGAGAGAAGCACCTTTAGCTGAAATTCTTTCTTATGTGACATGTTGAGGTTGTTTCAAGTGGGAGCAAAGACTAACATGCATTCAAAGTAGCAACTCCTTTAAACTGCTAACATTATGGAAATTGCTCAATTTTTATCATGATCTACTACAAAAATATCACTTTTCTCTACTTGGGACAATGACAAGTACTTCCTAATTCTGGCACAAATTAAAAAGATGCAGAATTTCTTCTGAGACAAATGTAGCTTTCCCTCCAATACTAACTGATGGGGGGAAAGACACTTGCAGAAAAGATTCTGTAGGTAGAATGGGGTAATCTTGTTCATCCCTGCAACACCCCCCCCCCCCCCCCCCGCCGCCGCCGCCATTTTAGGCTCTAAACCAAAAACAGTCTGTGGTTATCTGGAGAGCATCTATAAAGAACAGTCAGTGGGAGGAATGAGCAGGAAGTGTTAAAATATTGCATCTTCCTATTTGCTGAATTCCTTTCCTGTCCTTTGCAAGTACTGCACTCATTATAAAGCCAATCACTTTCTCTTAAAAGTGAGATAAGACATCTACCTATATCTTAAGTAAAAGAATAATTGCAAATAAGTAGTTCCAAGCCAAAGCTCCAAGATGCATAAAATGTGCTGCAGAGGGCAACTCATGCATTCTGTGGATCAGATCTGATTAAGAGTAAAAAAGGAAGAAAAAGAAAGAATGAAAATGGGACTGTAGGCATTGATTTAGATTTTCTAACCCATTTGATCTAAAGAGTCTGGGCAGTAAAGATCCATCTAAAATAGGTATGGGCAGACCCAGGTCCAGGGGCTGGATGTGGCCCCTTGGGCTCTTCTCAGGCCTTCCTTTCTCTCACCATGCTATCCTTCCTTCTCTCTTTCCTTCCCTTCTTCTCCTTCCCTTCTACTCTTTCGTCCTCCCGCCCTTCCTCCCTCTCTTTCCTTCTTCCTCCTTCCCTCACCTCTCTCTTTCTTTCTCCCTTTCTCCTTCCCTTTCATCCTTTCATGCTTCTTTCTTTCCCTCTTTCCTCCCTCCTTCCCTCTCTCCCTCTTTCTCTTTCCAACCTTCCCTTCCTCCCTTTCATCCTTCCCTTTTGTCTTTCCTTCCTCCTTCCTTCCCTTTTGTCTTTCCTTCCTTCTCTTTTCTCCCTCTCTCCCTCCCTCCCTGCCTCCATTCCCTTCAACCCCTCCATCCTTCCCTTCCTCCCTTTCATCCTTCCTTCCTTCTCTCTTTCCTTCCTCCTTCCCTTCCTCTTTTCCGTCACTGGGAAGCCAGTCCTCCTAGCAGGGAGTGCTAGCATGCGACCAAGTTAGAAAGTTTACCCATGCCTGATCTAAAATGTGTATAATAACAAATCCACCAATCCAATAGTTAGCAGCCAAAATGAAAAGGAGCCACATCACATCTAGATAACGAGGTAAGGGAAATCATTTTGTAATGCTTGACAGTTTTACTCAACTTGCACCAAAAATATTCTAAAGTTTTAAAGGTCTCATTTATGCAAGACTCTACTACTTAAGTCAGATAATGATTCATCTAATTGGACTGGGTATAGCATAGTAAAAATGGTATGCATTAGTTGTACCTGTAACCAAGGATGACTAAGTGATTTGTCAACACTGTAACGTTTTCTCATCTTCACTTGAAGCAAATTGTTTATTAAATCTATTGCTGGGGGAGAAAGTAAGTGGAGAAAAACATAATCAGAACAAGTATTCCATTTCTTCCCCATCCCACACTGGAAAGGAAAACAACAGTTTAGTCTTAGGAAATTGATTTGAGAAACACCACATGTAAGAGGCAAAAGAAAGTTGAAAGCTTGTTGAGTAAACAGCCATTAAGGATAGAATCCATCTCTCTCTCAAACCAAAAAGATTTCCATTGGTTTTAATGCATCTGGTTTCTGCCCTAAAGAGGACATTTTACACAGAGTTTAATCTGGAAGTAATTTTGAACTCAACAGATTTTATTTTGTAGTAAAAAAAAAATCAAGGCTGTTTACTAGATTTCTTTTTAAATACAAATCGATACCTTCCACCAAAATCACTTTCTGTTATTCCCTTCAAACTAATTTACAAAGTCAGAAAGTTTACATTAGCTATAAAAGATATGCACTTAACCTAAATAACAGCTTCCAAATTGTCACTTCACACAGACCAGCAGTCATAATTTACACATTACATAAACATGCTTGAAACCTAAGTAATGTTTATTTTCTAGGAAGGCCTGCCTAGTCATAGCTTACTGCTTTGTTAATTCTGGAGCAAGCAAGAAACACTCTCTAAAAATGGTGCATGTAAATTCATGCTGTGCAATATCTAATCAGAGGATCCAGAACTGATTGACAATTGGGGCTTCATCAGAACTCAGAGCAAGAGAGGGTTAATTTGTTGGACAGCCAGCAGTGAAAAAAATACTGAAATTTTGCTCAACACCTACAGTTGTCTACCCTGCTCTGGGATTTATTCCCCCTCTTAAAGCTGGCAGTTGAAAAGCCCTAATTCCTCTTCTAGCATTAAAATTCAGTTCTATATAGTATGAAGTACAAGGCTTCCAACTGTAGTAAAAGGTTTTTCTTTCTCCTGTCCAATTGCAATAAATGATCACAAATGGCTCATTGCAACAAATGATTACAAATGGCTCCTTGGTTTTCCAAGGAGATGGTGGCGATGAAGCAAGTGAAAAAGAGACTAGAGCGACACTGGCGGAGAACTCAAAAGCTAATCTGACCAAGCACGGGCTAGAGCATATTTGAAAGCCTATTCGGTGGTAATGGCGGCAGCAGAGAAATCATTCATTGCTGCCAACACTGCATCTACAAAGAGCCGTTCAGCTGAGCTGTTTTGAGTGGTCAGAGGGCTATTACATACTGGTCCTCAAGGAGAAATCCCTGACCCACTGTGAAGAATTTGCATGGCATTTTAGCAGATAAATTTGCTCAGATCCATTCCGACTTAGTTGCTGTTATTGATACAGTTCCAATGGATGTAACTTTGGATCCTGCTTGTCCAGTGTTGATGGATACCTTTCAATTTATGCACCCTGAGGATGTGGACAGGTTTGCTGGAGAGGTGACAGCTACCACATGTATCCTAGATCCTTGCCCTTCCTGGCTAATCAAACAGGCCAGAGGAGGCCTGGCAGAGTGAGTGAAAGTGGTGTTCGATGCCTCCTTGGAACAAGACAAAGTTCCAACTTTCATAAAGGAGGCAGTTGTGAGGCCTATATCTAAAAAGCCATCCCTGAACCCCTATATAATGGATAATTATCGGCCAGTGTTCACCCCCCCTCCCCCTTTCTGAGTAAGCTCTTGGGAGTGTGTGGTGGCCTCCCAACTCCAGTGTTTTCTGGATGATATGGATTATCTAGATCCATTTCAGGCCTGGCTGTGATCTGGCTGCGGAATATAGACAGTTTTGGTCTCCTTGATGGATGACCTACGCAGAGAGCTAGACAGAGGGAGTGTGTCCCTGTTGGTTCTCCTAGCTCTCTCAGAGGTTTTCAATACCATTGACCATGGTGTCCTTCTGGGTCGTCTCGCTGGGATAGGGCTGGGAGGAACTGTTTTACAGTAAATCCGGTCCTTCCTGAGGGCCACTGCAGCAACTGCACACATTCCTTGAGAAGCCAAATATGGTCACAGTGGTTCATGCCATAGTTATATGCCATATGGATTACTGTAGCACACTCTACGTGGGGATTCCTCTGAAGAGTACTCAGAAAGTCCAGCTAGTCCAAAGAGCTGTAGCCAGGTTGTTAACTGGGGCTGGCTACAGGGAGCAGACAACCCCCCTGTTGAAGCAGCTCTGCTGGCTGCCAGTCTGTTTCCGGGCACAATTCAAAGTGCTGGTTATGACCTTTAAAATTCAGTCTAGGCTATTAGGCTGACCACATCGCCTTGTAGGAACTTGCCTGAGCCCTGAGATTTTCAGGAGATGCCCTTCTCTTGGTCCCATCTCCATCTCAAGCTCAGTTGGGGGGAACAAAAGTGTGGGTTTTATTGGTGGCTGCTCCTCGACTCTGGAACTCCCTGCACAGGATGGCCCCCTCCCTGCTGTCCTTCAGGTGGCTAGTTAAAACCTTTTTTTATTCAGGCAGGCTTTTAAAGAAGAATATTCGTAAGATCATTTGTAAGATGATTTTATATGCTTTGTTTTAACTTGAATTGTCTTAATATTAATGGTGTTTAATACTGTTTTAATATTTGTATATTTTAAGTTGTACTGTAATGCTTATAGTTTTGAGCCACTTTGAGTCTCTGTATGAAGAGAAAAAGCAAGATATAAATAAACATAATAGACATGATAATAATAATAATAATAATAATGACATATTTGGCTCTTCCTTATCGTTGCATTTTTTCATGGACTTTAGATGATTTCCCTTATTTTCTAAGGTAAAGATTTTCACTATGCAAAAAATATTACAAACAGTGATATTATATCCCAAGTCTCCCAATAAGGATTACCTTCACTAGATATCTCCTTCCAGGGATTTGGCGGATACATAAAGGCTGCATTTTGGATCTGATCATTTATGTCTTCATCTTCATTAAATGGAAATGTACCACTCAGGCTCACATAGATTATGACTCCCACTGACCACATATCCAAAGATCGATTGTAGCCCTTACTCCTAAGTACCTCTGGAGCCAAGTAAGCTGGGGTTCCAACCACTGATCTCCTAAAAGACTTCTCACCAATAATGCGTGCAAAACCAAAATCACAGAGCTTCACCTGCAAAACAAACATCTTCAATATAAATTATATACTGAACACAGAAAAACAAAACAAAATGAAGAGAGGCATCCTATAAAAGTTATGTAAGGAATCATGGGACAAGACACTAATTTTACAAGAAGTACTACTGATCAGAAAAATTATATAGTGTAATCTGCATTACTAATTAATACCAACCATTAGTTAGCATTCATTAATACCAATTGGACACAACTGGCTGGTTTAAGCACTATTTTACAGCACCGTTTAAATTATAAATACAAGGCTCCTGTGCAGCTTGCTTCATTACCAGAACAGACCAAATGGTTGATATTACCTATCATTAATAGAAATAAGCCATCTTCAAACCAATATATGAATCTGGTTTGGCTTTACCAGATAAGATAAACCACAAGACAAGGTTTGGATGGCAGACAAAACAACATTGAACTAGATGCTTCTAAGCTTCTCTCTGGGGAGAGATGGTTCTAGAAACTGTGGAAACCAAGTAGCACATCCAAATGCTACAATTAGAGAAGGCTTAGAAGCATGGTTCCAGCTTGAGCTTTCATTTAGAAGCCTAAAAATGCTGCAGATTTCCTCTTGTACACAATCTTCAAAATGTTGCATTCCTTACCCACCTGAGGAAATGGCTCTGCTGATGCTAACAGTACATTTTCAGGTTTTAAATCACAGTGCACTATATTCTTGAAGTGCAAATTCCTCAGAGCAACAAGTATCTAAAAAATAGAAAGAGTATGTTCTAAATGTAAAGATCAGGCAGATAGAACAGCTGCATGAAGTTATATTACAGCCCAATATTTGCCTAAAACCAAATACAGGATCTTCAATTGACAAGATTCCCCAAAACATATGTCTGTAATTAAAATGTGTCAGGAAAAACAGAGCTTTCATATATAACTGTATTGGAAAGAAAGTCTTTTACCATTTCAAAATAGCAGGCAACAAATGAATTATTTGTAACTCAGACCTATACCCTTACAAATGACCAGTACGTGAAGGCTATTTGTCCTTATACAATAAATCAGCCCTGTTGAAAGCCTGTGAACACTATCAGTTTCCAAGTGCAGCAAGACTGTTTGTTTCATTTCATTACACTTCACACAACCTATACAAAATCATTTAATTATATTCAGCTTCACCTCTAAATACATTTTGAAATAAACCATTTTATTCTAGTTTGCTAAGTGAAAGATTGCCTCTTTATAATAAGGTTGTGAAATTCTTCTTTCAAATGTGCATCTGAAGGCAACAGGAATCTACTAGGATTTAAAGCAGCGGACCCACCTGGGTGACCATAAACTTGGTGATTCTTTCTGGAAGCCGGCTTTTCTCACTGGAGAGAATCATCTCTAACATGTCGCCATGAAGTTTTTCCATCACAACAAAAACCCTTTCTGGAGTTTCAAACATACATTCCAGGTTTACAATCCCAGGGTGGTGCAAATTCTAGGAAATTATATTATATTGACATTAATAGCAAAACTATTATGTACTAGAAGTCCAAAAATATCTACTACAGATAGGGCATGTTTTGTCTGGATACTAGTTAAGCTTTATTATTTTGAAAGCACTCAAGCAATACCTAGCAATATTTATATACACACAATATATGCAATAACTCCTCATAATTTTCCAGTACAACACCAAAGGTAACCTAAGAAGAGTATTAAGTAAAACAATACTAAAGAGATTGCACCTTGCCGTATCAGCTATGTTCAGATGGACTCTGCATGTTCCCAGCTGTCTGTTAATTCAGCCTTTTATTCAAGCAAAATAAAAAATAATCACTATTTTTTTGAGGTTGAGTCTGACTACCTAACCTATTCATGCTACTGCAGTAATAAAGTAATTCATTTGACACCATGTCAGATTCAAAATAGTATCTCTATATTGTCTTATCTTTGTACCTGTAAAATGGCCACTTCATTGCGTAGTTGACTCTCCTGTTTTGTAGGAAATCGCATTTTATCAATGATTTTAATTGCCACATCTCTTCCAGTCTTCCTATGTTTTCCTGCAAGAACACAATGGGAAGAAAAGTAAAAAATTCCAAACTACAGAAAAATGAGAGCTGGAAGCCAATTGAACAAGGTATAGTAATTATAACAGTAAAGGGGAAGATATTAGCCCTTTACAAGTATACAATCGGTTTACAAGCAATTACCACGTATCTTCACATATACATCTAGAAACCTGGGTTGACTTATCCACAAGTCAACGTTAGTGTCATACCTTAACTTGAGAAGAGCAGTCAAAGAACTTAGCCTGGCCTCTAAAAACCTACAAGAAGCACGAATCCCCTCTACTTTCTCTGCCATAATGCCACTTCTGGCATTTTTAAAAATGCCTGGACAGGAAAACAGCAGCAGGATTCAAATGTTCCATGACCTATACAAATTCATAATTTTGGCTCAAAATGTGCTCTCAGCTTTTACAGAAGGATGATGTATACATGAGTATACATAGTAATGAGTATACATAGTAATAGTTTTGTCCTTTTTACTATTCGATATTTGTAAGACAGACTTCACATTTGCATTGGGAGTTGGGACTAGGAACACAGACCTAAATACAATTGCTAGTCCTGGCTAGATTAAAACTACAAAATCAACTGCTGCAAAGAGGAAAAAACATTGATTAAATAGGTCTACTCTAGCTAGAATTAGTAACGGATTCCTAGTAGGATGTACATACGTACATAGCTTTTCACCACATGACCTTACAAGCTAAATTGGTGCCAATGCTGACCTCATTTCAGTGCCAAGAAAAAACTGTTCTTCATGTAGTCTAAACAGCAGTTATGTAAGATTCCATAGATCATAATCAGCACTTTTAATTGTGCCCAGGAACAGACATATAGCCAATAAAGCTATTGTTAATAGTCCCTGTCAACAGACTGGCTGCAGAATTCTGGACCAGCTGAAGTTTCTGAATATTTTTCTAACACCATGAAGTGTTAGAAAAATCCAAAACGGGTATAACTAAATCAAGATTCCTATGCAAATATGCAAGTCTAGTACTGTATATAAATATCAAGTAAATATAGGGGTGAATTGGTGCAATATAAACCTAATCTCAATCTCAGTTAAGTCTGATTAGTACTGTAAAGCCAGGCACACATCCCCCTCCAGCCAAAAAACGATTTATAGATCACCAAGAGATTCCAAGCAAGATATGATTTTTCTTTATTTTATTTTATTTTTTAATTCTGAAGCTTCAAAGTGAAAGGTCGAAGTACTAGAGGCTCTGGAATGGACCTAATAGCAGTTGTATCCTACAAACTCTATCAAATCTCACCATTCAGTAAATGTATAAACTTGAATTTTATATGTAATGTGTATTTTTTATGTATTGTGTCAATTCTTAAATGTATAAACTGTATCAAATGTATATATCAAAATGTATCTTGAATACAGTTTACCTTTCTGTGCCCTCAGTTGGCATAATCCCTTGGGAAAGCGGACTAGCCAGGATCCCTCCCAAGTCAGATAACTACCAAACCTTTTGTGTATGTATGCAGATAGTTGAATACACCAGAATAAGTGTAGGATCTTTGTTCATTCAACTTGAGGGTGAGCTTGCCGCTCCCGTGGAAGAGGGAGCTCAGCAAATATGAATTCATTAACTTTCTATCCAAGCAACCAAGTTTGTCTGGAATGACCACCTTGGGTCTTGCACACATCACTATTTCCTCCAGGACTGCACCCTCCGAGGGGCATCTCTACAACTGACTGGCTCTTTAAACTGTCCAACCAACAGCTGCCTTTCTTCCTGCCATGGCAATCTCCTCCTGCAGGCTATGACATTAGAGGAACCTCTGCCCAATCTGGGCACGAATCCTAGCCTGCCTCTTTTTTCAGCCATTCAAAGAGAACTCTGAATAGCTGTCAGAACTGTATAAGTTGTCATATCTTTTTCTGTGAATTTATGTTTGTGCCTTTTGAAGCATACTGCTTGTACTTGCATCCTTTTAGGCCGAACTGTAATAAACCTCTGTGGTTTTGCCTTCAACCTGGGAAGCTTGTTCTCTGTTCTGGCTGATCTAGTTTCACTGAAGCTCACCAAGCATGAACCCCTCTAACCACAGTCCTAGCTGAAATCACTACACCAACACAAAACTTCCCTGACTTTTTCTCTGCTAAAGTCAAATAAGTTGATCCAGGTTTTGGAGGCCATTTTTGTCAAACTATTTTCAACTTTATACACGAGTATATACAGTAGCAAACATTTGCCATCTTAGGACTATTCTCAGTTTAATGAACAATCCCCCATGATCAAGGTGAAAAGAGGTTATAAAGAGAGACCTTTTTCTCTATGTAATATCCACAAAATACAGATCTACTTTAAGTTATATTAATATACACTTTTCGAGGATGGGTACAAAACCTTTAACAATTTTCACACAGGATAAAAAGACTTCTCCTCTTCTTGTGTGAACGTAAAATAAAAGCACTCTTAGCCAGCATTTTTAGGAGATAACTTCAGGAATACTCAGTGTGGCCAGAGACATCTTGGACCCTGACTTCCAAACCCCATCAAACTGCACAGCTCAAATTTTAATATATAAAAAAAGGAAGCTTGCTTCCGATTACATTCTTAGCACACACAAAAATGTAATACAAAATCACTGCAGTGGTGAAAGTCAGAATGAGGAAAAGCAGTTGTCCAGTGACACATGCCCCCCCCCTTAGTGACTAAAACATCCTCAATTAAAAGAGATTATAGAGTAAAGCATGCAAAACCCTTGATTCCAAATCTTAACAATAGAATGCATTTGCTGAAAGAAATGGGAGTCTAAAAATAAAGGATGCACTTGTTCAAATGAACTGCTAACCAAGTTATTTCAATTGTACAAATTATACATATAAACAGGCACAGAGTATGCTAAAGAAATACTACAAGACCACTGCACTAGTGCTATTTTAGAGGCCTAGCTAGACCTCACCTGGAGTTCCTGATTCAGTATTGGTGGATCTGTAACAAGTCAGGCAACAGTAACTGCTCTGGAAGGTAGTTGCAAGCAGAAAGAGTATTGCCTTAAAGATTTAACTATAAGTACAAGACACAAAAGCTGTTTATTTTCATGAAAGTAGAAAGCAACCCAACAGTAACATGATTGAATTTTCACAAGGAAACAGGAGGGTCATTTAAATAAGAAGGAAGTTTGCTAAGATTTGGCAAAAGAGTGCATAAAACAGGCAGTGGCTGCTTTTTTTCTAATCTGGGAGAACAACATGAAGCAATACTCTCCAATCTAAACTGCCAAGGAATCTGTCTGTGAAACTTGCAATACTTTTTCAACCCTCATGACCATCAAGATCAGTTAAGGCACAGAGCTGCAAAAAAGCAGAGCAGAGGAAACATTATTTTAATAAAAACCTCAGAAGTGATCTTATATCAGGTCAAGCCTATAGTCCATCTAACTTAATAATGTCTACATTGGCTGACAGCAAATCTCCAGAGTTTTCAAAAGTCTTTCCAATGCCAGATTCCACGGACCAAACTTGGGATCTTTGGCATGAATAGTATGAGCTACCACTGAGCTAAAAACCTCACTGTTACTCTTGTATTCCATTACTGTTCCAAATTGCTCATGATTTCTAACGTATCTTTTTATAACAAGCAGCCATGTTTGTTTTGTATGTTAGCCTTTCTGAAAAAGCACACTGCAAAGAAGCCAAATACAGCTTCACAAGTTTGCACTTCCAGCAATGTTTATACAAACTTACCTCCATACACAATCCCAAACTGGCCAGAACCGAGCACTTCGTCAGCAAAGATCTGATACACTGAACTAATATCCTAGCGAAAGAAAGGGTGTTGGCAAGATAATGTAAATATCAGGATAAAGTCCCTTTTTAAATGTTCTAATGAATGCTACATTGGCAGAAATTAGATTATTAAGAACTATACATATACAAGTAAAGAGGAAATAAAAAGGTCATGGTAAGCAGTTTTAGAATTTCCTTCTGTCCCATCCTGTTAAACTGTATTGCTAGTGTTACATATAGCAACTTGTTGAACATCTTTAGAGTGAGACACATAGGCCGTTTTGATTAGAAAGGCTAACTATCTCAGAAAATAATGTCCCAGCTCTGTCCTAATGGAATAAGATATACAAAGAGCCTTGCAATCAGCAGCAAAGTGTGCTGCACACTAAAGCCAATTTCTAGATAGTAAATGAAAGGTTCCTGAGAACTATAATTGTTTCTTTTTTTCAAAATGTCCGATCTCATTACACAGATATGCCACTATGTTTACAATCAAAAGGGAACATCAAGCCACTTGTGAATCACTTGTGAACTTATGTTTTTTCCAAGGCCAGAAAGCAAAGTGTCTGGAATTTAAGATGATGGGTATGAAACCAAACCATCTCTCCAGTAATTAAAATACAGAGTACAAGTTATTAGGAACCACACTGAATAATATCACCATAAGACCCCTCGAGTGTCTTCCTCCAGGGGCAAACCAAGAATGGGCAACTTGGAAGTCCCTGAATAGACACAGAAGTGGAGTGGGCAGATCAAAAGACAACCTGGCAAAATGGCACTACCTAAAAGCATCCCACACCTTGTGTGACTGTGGAGCAGAACAGACAACTCCACATCTGTATGCTTGTCCACTGTGCCCTGCCTCATGTACAGAGGAAGAATTGTTGGAGGCTACAGACAATGCCATTGCTGTTGCCCGTTTTTGGTCAAAAGCTATTTAGCCGCCTACGCTCCTTCTATTTTTATCAGTTATATATTAATTTCTGCAATGCTTTTGATATGAAATAAATAACTATAGTGTGAAAATAATTCATTGTAACGTTCCTACCATTACCTATTATCTGCAATGTAGCCAAAAGCTAGAGGCCAAATCTTACATATATTTAGTCAGTAATCCCTTGAGTTCAAGAAAAGCTCAAATAAATATGTGTGCAACTGCAGTATTAGGATGTGAGAGGGAGAGATACTGAAGATTAGCTACAGTAGAAAGAAACCAAGATAGGGCAAGATATAGGTTTAGTTCAACACACATCTGGACACTTTTTGACAGAAACAAACTTATTTACTTTACAGAAAAAGCACACAGAAAGAATATATAAAAGACTATAATTTATCTCCAAAATTCAATTAGAACACATGGCTTTATAAGTTTAAAATTTCCTAATAAAATGTGTTGCATTACATTTATTTCCTGAATTAGTGATGAATTTAGCAATATCATTTACAAAGTTTCTGACTTTGCTTGCCTTATTACTAAAGACATGATTCTATATGGTTTGTTTTCTATACCAAGCATGCATACATTACACTAAATAAGGGGAGATCACAGAATGCAAATAAGGATTTGTTCAGATTTTCATGTATCTTTAACTGTAATTTTAACCTAAAACTAATTACCCAGAAATACGTGACAACAAACCAATTTCAAAGCACTTATACTTTGTGACTCACCACATTCTCTTGGATCTGGCAATTTGAGACAGAAATGCTGACAGACAATTCTTCTGTAATAAGAAACAGTGTTTGTTTTAAGTATAGAAAAACGAAAGATTTGGGAGCCAAATATTTTACTTAAAATTTCTAATCAACATACAAAATTTATCTCCCCTCCTCCAAATTCCACTAATCTACTGCATCCAACATTTGCCTAACATGATGCTGAAACTTCTCTCCCTAGACTGGGTAAAATATTCTTCTCAATTTCACTTTCTCACTGACCATCAACATATTGTTTATGTTCCTCTTATATCCAGGTTACATACTCTCTTTGAGTCACTGATTTTCAGGAACCAAGAAACTAACAGATGAAAGTCTCAGACTAAAACACAGAAATCCCCCTAATCCAGACTTTAGATGTGGCTTTATCAAAGCTAAACCCTTTGAACCTACATTTTTGCTACAAGGTCCAAGTCCTGCTGTCTGTGGGTAAGGGTGCATTTTCCTCCTATTCAAAAGAATTTAAAATCTTTTTGTAGAGTTGTAAAGTATTGTATCATGGGGCTTCCCCATTCCTAAACAGCTCCAAAAACCTCTCAAAATGGCTAAAAAAGCAACTAGAAGTGAGGGATTATCACTTTCAGTGGCACAATATAGTAGCTGTAAAAATGCCCTGTGGCCCTCTGGAGATGCCAAAAACTAAGCAGTATGGATATTTTATCTGACAAGAGTTATTTATGACAGAAACAAGTTCAGCATATTTTAAAAATGTAATCTTGGTTAAATCATAACATGAAAATTTAAAAAATGGTTGATATATTTTTGTTACAAGACAAATTTAGTTGGTAGTAGTTATGGGACAATTATCTTGTCGGTTAAAATTTTAAATCATGAACATGAAAAGTGCCTAGCACATTTTTGTGATGTAAGATTTTTTAAATCAAATAGAATAACTCAAAAATGCATAAAATAAGTTATGTTGAGACACATAGATTAACAAAAAAAGGATTACAAAATAATTTGTTATTCATGTCCTAAGTTAAAAGAACAAGGTGAAGTAAGGATTTATATTAAAGATTGCCATTCAAGTTTATATTCACTAGAAAAGAGGATCCTAACACAGTCACTTACAGTAACATAAAATACAATATTTTGTGTAAAAGAGGCTAGTCATTTAGCAGATAATCACTCAGATGAAATGAAGTGTTTCTCTGCTCTTACTGTGATCTTTTCCTTGTCCTGCAACGGTGCAAATGCTAGTCTGGGGTGTTACAGGCATCAAAGCTTGACGAATAGCTTTCTCCCAGCTCTGCGCTACATCAAGTCCAACTCCAGTAGCAGCTAAAACAGGATTGTGGTGGTTGCTGCCATTGTTTTCACCGACAAAGTAAACCATTGTGTCCGTTATTATTTCAAAGCAGTGTGGGTTGCTACCCTGCACCACATTTGAGAAATCCCTTGGCGGAGTGACTTGTAGAATTTCAGAAAGTGGAATCTCCTAAAGGGAACACGAAGTACTCAAAGATAATCGTGTTTGCATCAAGCAACAATCGTTCAGCAAGATCAACTAAGTAGTAAAGAAAACACACATCAATACTCCACTAATCTAAAAGTGCTTTGCTAGTACTGAGTGACACTTTATACTCCCCAAAACTCCACATTAAAAGACTTCAGGACAGAACTCTCCCTGGTAAGCAATTCCCCTGACAATATGTGACCTCAGAGTTCTCTATATGCAATCTTTGGGGACCCATCATGATGTCTACTGGTTTTCTATCAGCTAGCACACAGAGAGACCACGAATGTTTGGTTTCGTCAGGGACTGCAGCTTCTGCCCTCCCTATGACTATTGGCAATAGACTGTGGAGCTGATCATGAGACAGGACATTCTGCAGTTGGGCATGTTTGTGATATAAGGACATTGTCTAGCTTTTGTTGTCCTGTGCCTTCAAGTTATTTCTGATTTATAGCAAGCCTGAAGAAAACATATCACAGAGTTTTCTTGGTGAGATTTATTCAGATGGGTTTTTTTGTTTTTTTGTTTGTTTGTTTTTTCTTTTTCTTTCTCTAGGAAAGTATGACTTGCACAAGGTTTCCAAAGATTCAAACCCTGGTCCCCAGAGGACAAGTCCAATACTCAATACTCACTACACTATTCTGGCTGTCTCACTGTATAGTACTAATACCAATGAGTAAATATAGTAGAGCTCAATTGCATCCAGTGTGACAAGTTGTGCTGCTGCTTTTTTGACCAAAAAACACAATCTCACAACAAGAAGTGGAGGATCTACAATGATAAACTGCCCATTTAAAACATGTTTCAACATCACATACTCAAAAAGATTTTGGGGGAAAAAAGAGGCGTAGTCTTGGAAGATGCAAAAACCAGTTGCGAGAGAACTTAAAGGGCACCATAACAAAGTTGGGGTTGCACACAGCCCATAAGCTGTACTTTCTAGTCTTTTTACATGCATCTCAGCACTCACTGCTCTCAGAATCGTGGCCACATGTCTGTGGGATTCATTACAATAATTAAAAAGATATACCGTGTGCCACAATGAAAGATTAAGGAACCCAACTACAGATGAAATAACCAACAAAATCATTTTAAGGGGGAACTAGTAATAAATATTGAGTTTGGCTTTGTTTGCTTACCTTGTAATACTTTGTCCCAGATTCATTCTGAAATAGCGTAAGACATTTACTATCCAGCCTCCAGTAATGTCTTTTTCTCTGCAACAAATATAGAAGTATTTCGTATTAAAAGCAAACATTGCCACTTTCTACAGATCAGAACCAGTTCTCTAGTATCTGTAGCTCCCACTGGGGCCACAGGGAGTTCACCTTCTATCTCAGAGCCTCAACTATCGGCCTTATATGACAGAACACAGAACAACAGATTTTTGAGGGGGCAGCATTTATGGACTCTCAGACTCGAGAACTCACTTCCTTACTTCCTAGGCTAAACTGACTTTCTTTGCTGTCATCTTGTGGACAGATCTTTTTAGTCTTGGCATCAGAGGGAGAGAAGAAGCAGGCACAGTCCCATCATGCAAAGGCTAAGAAGCAGGTGGAAGACTCTTCTTCCATCCCACTGCCATTGCCCTGGCTTCAGTGGGAGAGAAGTAGCTACTGGACTTAGTGCCTTCTCACTCTACCATTCCCGTTTCCTTTTGTGTCATGTCTTAAATAGATTGTAAATTTGAGGGAAAGGAACTGATCTGTTGTTCTTTTAAAGATGTGCCACATACAATAGAGTCTCGCTTATCCGATATAAGCGGGCTGGCAGAACATTGGAAAAACAAAATGTCGGATAATACGGAGGGATTGAGAAAAGCCTACTAAACATCAAATTGCGTTATGATTTTACAAATTAAGCACCTAAACATCATGTTTTACAATAAATAGACAGAAAAAGCAGTTTAATATAGCTTCCTTCTTTTCGTCACCATACTAATGCAAAAAATGCACATAAACACTGCACAGCAACACGCAGCAAACCGTTCCACGTACTATAACAAACTGCACTAAACAACCGTCAGGAAAGGTGAGACTTGACCTATACATGAGTCATAGGCTAGACGTGTGCGCCTGGGGGACCTGTTGTAATCGATGCTTGCATTGCGGTGCCTCACCGTTAGGAGCAACAAGAACAAGTACAGTCACGCTCCCAAAAAATGTGGCAGACTTTTCTCATCATCAATGTCTTACATTCCAATTGTGAAGAAAAATCAGGATATTAATTAAGTAACTAATAGATAAGACAGGTTAGCTGGTCTAACCACAAACATCACATCCTAGCCAGCATTCTAGGAGTTGAGGCTCCAAAAGAGCTTTTCTAGACTTTATTCTGAAGAACAAGAAGAGACTGGAGAAAAAAGGAGACACAACTTAGGAGCTACAAGGCTGTTAATTTAGGTGAACTCTCAGAGAGAGAGAAGAGTCAACTTCCCCACAATTTAGAGCCATCCTGGAATATTGTGCAGAGGAAAGAGCCTTTTCCCCCTTTGTATCAGTGCTCTTCATTTCAAGTCATTGCAATGTTAATAATGGAAAACAAGCAAGGGTCAAGACTATCCTGAGAAGATAGGGTAACAGAACAAGATACTTAAGCCACTTGCTCCTGTTGTGCTTTGTACTGCCCACACCTCATACATGATTTCCAGACAAGTGGCTTCTAATTTTAAAAGAGCTTCTGTGATGAGTGTGGACCTTAACAGCCACATGTCAACACACAAGGATTTTTCATCTTTCCTGGTTGTAGTCTAGAAATCACAGCTGAGCACAGACTGACTTTGCCCAAGTATTATGGTTTGAATTTTGAGTTTAAAATATAAAAACTGATAGAGAAAAGAAGGGACCTTGGACGACTGACCAGGTTATCTCGGCTAGTATAATGAACCATCCATCCTTCCTTCACCATTGTACTGCTCTTCCGTTTTGTATGCTTGACAGATTGCACCACTCTCATCAGCGGAATGTTATTGCTTGTTGATGGGCTATTTTAAAAAAAGAATTGCATTGTTCTGATCATTTATACTGAACCATATTCATTTATAGACCAATAGTTCAAAGCATGTTTCAGTAAAAATATCTTTTGAGTGTAAATTGCATTTAAAATGCTTTTTTTAAATAAAATCTTCTAGATAAAATCATCATTGTGTAAATCACACCTACAATGAGAATTCAGGTGACAGGGTGATTTTTTAATCATTCACTCACCCACCCCTGAATGAGAACAAGACGCTTGGCATAGCCAGGGGTTGCTGCATGGATTTTCAGAGAGGTATCCCAAGGTTCCTTTCAATATTACAGAAGATGTCAGGACATACATATTACCTTTGGTGAAGCATGTGTATATTGGGCTCTACTCCACCCTGCTACATAGCAAGGGGCATGAGAGTACCTCTCTGATCATGCATTGCATCTATTTTCAGCAGGCATTTTGTCCTGAATACTATATTGTCTGGCCAGCTGCATCAATTGACTCTGTATTTTCAGAAGTCAGAATGCTTCTGGACATAAAAATGGAGAAGACAAGATAGATACTCTGTTGGAGAAGGGTAAACAAAAAGGTGTTTATATGACCATTAAATGCTACTTTCTAGCCCAAGATACACTTTCCTATATTATGTGATACTATGTCAAAAAATCATCCTGGCACAACAAACTGTGGCAAAGATCCAAACCACTGAACCACTGTATGTAATGGCCATTGGAGTTACTTTCCACTTGCACTACAAAGTATCTATATTAGATACCTGATATTACAATGTATGTGGATCACTACTAAATGTCAATGTACATCCATACATGTATTACAGTTAAGTTTATGAGCCGTTCACAGCAGGGCCTCAGTCCTACTGTGAAATAACAAGATTGCTGCAGTAGATGATGCACATCTCTCCAAGTTGGTTGGTATTGCAGATTTCTGGATAAAGGAGACTCTACTTGTATTCCATTTTAGTATAGAGAACTAAAGGCCAAGAGATCACATAACGAACTGGGCATCAACCTAAACCTAATGTTTTATTAACTACAAGAGCTCTCCTCGTTTTATACAGTGATACAGACTATAATCCAAACAATTTACTCTAGTACAAATACAAGGGAAAAATATAATGACCTTTTCTGAACACTGACATCTTTAGCCTAACTTACAGCGAACATATTAACAAGGAATTAAATTGATTCCTTATATAACTCCATTTAATCAATTGGCTCACATTAGGTTTGGAACGGGTTTGGCCTAAGGTCAGGAGTACTATAAATCTAGGTCAGCTCAGCATTTTCCATCAACAAATCTGCATAGCTAACCATTCTTCAATAGTGTAATTTATTTCCATGGTGAATTTCATAGGGGATTACTTCCAAAAGGTTCAGGCCTACAAGTTTCAGCAGTTCGGTTAACTAACTCTGTTAACTACGATCGTCATTTGTGCTTCCTTGCAGGAAAGTGTACCTTGAGGACCACTGGAACAAAAAAAGAGAACCAAATCGCACTGAAATATATATTTAAGAAAAGACTTCACAGATATGGAAACACTGTGTTTTCCCCCTGGGAAATTCCTTGACTTCACAAACCTAATAGTCTTGACAGCCTCTTCATCTTTGTCCCCATCTAGGTCTCCTGGATCCATAAAAAACATCTTGTCTTCAGGAGGAGAGGGTTCTTCCACATCATCCAAGCCCCTACCTCCATCGCTATTTGTTTCACTACTATCAACTTCCATTGGCATATCAATATCTTGACCAGGACTAGCTGGCTCTTGTTCTAAAATGAAACAAGGGATTATTATTTGTATCAAAACAGCAAAAACATTTTACAATATACTTGAGTGAAAGTCTTAACAAATTGCTGTCAATGTGGATTAAGAATCGCCTGAAGTCATCAGTCTATGCATAGCAAAATTACAGAAATTTCCCCATACAGAGCAAGACAGACAAGAATATGAAGAAACATTTGAATTTTTCTTTTTGTTTCAATAAAGTTACTTCATGTTATGTAGGTACTTCCTGACACAGGGCAAATGTCTTTCACTGGAAAGTTGGCATAAGCATAGTTCTTCCACCTCCTGTGCCAGCTGACTTCTATCGTCTGATGCAAGAACATCATGACCAAGTCTTTCCAGGAAAGGGTGGGGACAGGATGGGAATATGACAACAAAACTCTTTACACCTGGGTTCATCACCAATGCAAATTAAATTTACTTTTCATAGTTTGCAATCCTGCAGGATATTCAAAATGAAGTAGTCCCAATGTGCCCAACATACTTCTATAGAAGAAGAATGGCATGTTTTTACATAGTAAAAATCATTCTAGGTGGTTCAAAAACCAGCTGCTATGCTGGTAGAGGAGCCTTGTGTAAAAAGGCTCCCCTACCACTAAGGTAGCTGGTTTTAGAACCATATAAATTTGAAACAAAGCTAGAGAAAAGGAACTTGATAAAACTGCTATGCTTTGCAACACTACTATATCTGCTTTAGAGAAGATTCTACTCAAGTTTCCATTTGATGTTCTCTTCATGGGACTGGGTCAAAGTTTAGAAAATTACTTTAGATGAGGAATTTGCTACTATTACTGGTCTCATCACAAAAACAGTTAAGCCTACTATGGTTTTTTTAAGTTACTCATTATTTTGTCATTAATAACAGCTACAGTATTTACTTCCAGTTATCTTAAAATCACTGTAAATTAACTACTCGAGTTACAGGGGCTGCAGTCTCCTCTCTACCACATGCTATCTGGCAACTGGTGACAAATCTGCTTATAAAAATACACACTGCCGATTTTGTTGAAGGAAATAGGCTGCATTTTTTTCCTGATTACAGCTGCTAATAGATATTGACCACCCTGCCTATCGGTCTAGGTGCCAAGATACACAACCCGCCCACAGAACATGATTCTGGGATGACAGGCACAAAGCAGACAACATGGCATGTCTTCCCTACCACCTTGGAGCAGGGCAAGGCCAAAAAAACCCTGAGCTGGATGTGACATTTTGCTAGTGCCAAGACTGTCACCTTTTCCCCAGATCTGTATCCCATGACAAATTGCCCCAACAAGTTGTGACAAAATCATTTAACCATGGATGTAATTTTTACAACAATGACAGAAGGTAGATGTAGACAAAGCTCTGAAGCAGAATGAGGATGGAGGGACCAGGATTCTAATAGTCCCTTCCTTGATCCTGTCAACTAGCCAAGCATGGTAATTCTCTCAGCTAGCACTTCTCGCACCTTCTGAAGCCTATACAAACCATTTGCAATTGTGGAAGATCATCATATCAAAATATGGTGCCCCAGCACTTCACATTGCCACAAGCTCACAAAACCATTATGCAGCAAGTCAAGAAGCATTGTTTTTTAAATGGTATTAGAGATAGTCCAAGAACCAGTATGGTGTAGTCGTTTAAGCATTGGACTGCTGCCATGGGAACTCATTGGGAGAACTTGGGAAAGTCACGCACTTTCATGTTCAGAGAAAGGCAAAAGCAAACTCCTTCTGAACAGATCTTGCCATGACAGATTTGCCTTAGGGTTCCCATGAATTGGAAATGATTTAACACAAACAACAACAACAGAGAAAGTTCATATAATTCCTGTTTTAAAGAAATACTTTTTTTCTGTTCTGAAACAGATTTGTGGAAGTGCAGAAGGAATAACATTGAAATGGTAGCCTCCCCTTTCAAAGTCACTGGGTGTGTTCTTCTCCATGGGGAAGAGAATAAAAATTTGGAGAAGAAGAGTCAAATTGGGATCAAGGAGGAAAATTATGCCTCCTGGACCTAAGATGCTTATCTAATCTATGCAATTCTAAGAGTTCTGCTATAAAAGGATGACACATAAATTGCTGAAATATACATAATATGCTAAAGATCTTCTTAAAGAAGAAACATTTTCTTAATCTATGAAAACATCTATTATCCACATACATATTTGCACCTAAAATGAAATCAACACATGCTGTCAAATCAATGCATACCATACCCTACAGTGCCTTATCAATAAATAATGTGGCCCATCAACTTGAGATTCATAAGCCATATTGACAAAGGAGTTAAAATTAACTTAGTGAAATGATAATACTAGATTTTCAATATTTTATATTTACAGCTGTTTGTATATCATTCAGTCTGTCTTTAATGTGATTAGTCAATTCAAGAATCACAGATGTGATTTTCCCTCTTCTTGTGTTTGAAATTAACTATCAATTGGACCAAAAGCTGATTTCAGAAAAGATAAAAAGTATTTTTGTAAAAGCATGTTTCCATTTTTAAATTCCAAATAAAACCAATTTGCAATATATAATTTTTGTATTTCTGTGTGAGTGTGAATGTACTTAGTACTTCTTTTACTGAATACTTTACTCTTGAAGTATTTTTCACAACAATATATTGTACAATTAGTTGTTGTGTGGCTTTAGCTTTTTCAAAATTATGGCAACCCTATGGTGACCTTATTATGGTGTTTTCTTGGAATGGTTTGTTTAGAGGAGGTTTGCCATTGCCTTCCTCTAGTACTGAGAGAGTGGGGATTTGTATCCTGGTTTCCAGCCGAACCCATTACACCATACTAGTTCTCACATATTGTAAAATCAATTAGTATTTCATATTGAAAGCTCCAGAGTTACCAAAGCTCAGGAATGTTTTTTGTTATCTTCCTAGTGATTCTTTCAAACTCTAATCATGTTAAAGCTTACCTCCATTAAACACTACTTCTCCAAGACAATCTTTAGGAACTTTAGAGGCACAACGTTTGTGACAGTTAAATCTGCAATCTAAAGTGAGGGGGAGGGAAAGTAATGTTAAAACATGATGGATTTACATTCCCACATTTTTCTCTAATGTTAAACACACTTTACTATAAGGTATGCTATAATTCCAAGCTCGGAAAACTTAGCTCCAAACATTGATGAACTACAACTCCTAGAATCTATCCCAGAATCTCTCAATAACAGTCATGTTGAGGCCTGCAGTCTAAATAGAATGTAGGTCCCAACTGCTGAACAACCCAATAAAACCCAATGAACAACCCAATAAAATTTCTTGAAGAGTTATTTATATGACTAATTTAGTCACGGTACCATTCTGACTCTAACTACAATATATGAATCTAACAGACATACAGATAGCTGACCAGTGCTAAGGATGAAAAAGATTTGATCCAACATTCCCGCAAGCAAAGCTGAAACTGCATTTCTCACAAGCTGCTCTGAAAGTCTGAGGAACACTCCAGAACATGGTTATTCATATCATGGCCACTCAGCTCAATCTATCAGTATTTATTTGCACAATAGCTGATTTCTTAAAATGCTAGTGGTATCAATGTCTTACAAAAGCTGCTAGTTATGGAACTGCTGAACAATTATGTAGTTTTTATATCAGTCTGTAAAAAAATAATTCCTGAACTGGGTAATGATACCAAAAATGTTTTACTGAGTAAAGGCTTTCTTCCAGTAAATGCTATGTCTGCCCTGGTAATCTGAACAAAGAAACCTTAATATCTGGCCATTGCTGGGCTCTAGAAAAGAATGTTCCACAGGTTTTGGTTTTTGTTTTGTTACTGTAAATAAAGAACTCTGGACTGGATCCAGCATGAGCCTTCTGCAGACGTAATGGCTCTACTCATAGGAGGTGCCTCCGCCTAATTTTCAGAGATCTCACAGGTACACATTATAGCTGAATCCATTCAGCAGGATTGCCCAACCTTACACACACTCATTTCAAGCAACTGGAGGGGCTGCCATGTGGAAGGTTGAACACATATAAATACGCTTTCAACATTTATGTGACTTATCCTGCATATTTCATTATTTTATTGGATTCTAACCTTTGGAAATAAGACTTATGCAAACAAAACTAATAATATTTATAGCCGTATTTATTCAGTGTCTTCAGGTACTAAGCACTTTACTCACAGAGTCCTCCACAACAAGTGGTAAATACAGATGCACAGGTTCCGAAAGGAGAACAATAATGAATAAATATTGTATTCTTTTTCTTCCCTTTTTTGCACTACAAACAAGATATGTGCAGTGTGCATAGGAATTTATTCATGTTTCTTTTCAATTAGTTCACACAAACATTGTCAATCTATCTCCCACTGGCCCAGTCCATCTGTAAAATTTTAAAATGCAGTGTGGCCCCTGTGTCTAAAAGTTTATTGGGGCTCCACAAGAAACTTTTCCTTCAAAAAGAGCTCTGTGGCTTTGAGAACCCATGGTCTAAACATTTCTGCCTTCTCAGGGTATAACCCAGGTAGACAAAATTTCAAAAAAGTTTAGAACAGCAAAATTAACAACCCAATCTTGAGAAAGCCAAATATTTCAAAGCTCACTGCCTTACATTTTTTTTAAAATAACTGTAACTAGAATGTTGGTTTTCTGATTAATAATACAGTCTTAATCATATTCACCTTCCCACAGCAGAAAAAGAAACTCCTACCTTTACACTGCATTCCTTGGCGAAAAAGGCCTTTGAGTAACCGTTTGCAGTACTGGCATATGGTCGGTCGAGTATAAGAATGAACTGCAAATGTATGTGGAACCTTCACCCGACAAAGCACCATCTTTTCCATCCATATTGGACGGCCACTCCAGGAAGGAATTCTCTTACTGGGCTCCAGGAGACAACGCTGAAATGAAAACCAGACATGCCAGGTTTCAACACCTGAAGACATAAAAGAGGTAATTCAAATACAATGAATATTATTCACTAGCAATAACCTTGTCTGGAATCAACTCTTTGATGCAGGTGTTTTTTGTTTTGTTTTGTTTTGTTTTACTTTATCAATGGACAAAAGTTAACCTCAAAAAAACAAAAACAAAACAAAACAAAAAAGTGCCAGGCAGACATGCACACGTGTTTTCTTTAATGGGAAAGAAAAAAAGGTCTCAGTGAAAGAAATGCAACAGCTTGAGGTAAATAGATCATAGGGTGATAATTTGCATCATATTTAAAAAGTGTCCAGCAGCTGCATCTATCAGGCCCAAAGAGAATTCTAGCCTTTATTGTGATTCTAACTTAATCGTGTTAGAAATAACAGGAAAAAAATTAATGCTCAAAACAAAGTTCTGGAAGAAAAGTCAGCTGTCAGTCTGCTTTAGCAACATTCACCAGCTCAAATTACATCAAAATAAATGTAAGCGATTCTTATGAAGACAGTTGCAGATATTAAAGTTACATGCTTTAATTTAGGTCTCTAGGTTATTCAGCTTGACTTTGCACATTATTTTAATCCAAAGGGATCTTTAGATACCTCTTCTGTTGTTGGGGTTGTGCACTCCGTTTGTATTGATCTTGGGACTGAAAGTGCAGATCCAGGTAAAGACACATTTGATAAACGCCTCTTCCTTACTCCACTACAGTTGTTTGGAATCTTAAAAGCACATCGTTTGTGGTAATTTAAGCCACACCCTAATTGAATTAGAATTCAGGGTGAGTAAAGGAAGATAGAAAAACAGGGTTGTTTTTGTTTGTTTTTTTTACATTTAAACAGAGTTACGAGAGATAGCTTTTTTAAAAAGATACATTTTCAGGAAATACATATCAAGCCAAAACACTTATATTTTAAATTTCAATTGCTGACTAAACCACTGTAGTGATCAACGTATTAATAGATGGAATTTTTTGGCCTCTATACTTGCTTTTCCAACCCTACTTCACCCTGACTAACGCCTGCAAATGGGGCCTGTTATGCAATTCATGTTGCTGCTGATCTTCCTCAGCTCACTCCCCCTGGCAGAGTATCTAAATAATGTACTCCTGGCTCTGCTGGAACCACAGGCATTAAGCAAAAGCCAGTGGGCAAAAAGTATTGGGTTACTAATACCTGGACAACAGCCTTCTGAAAGAAGGACTGAGAGAGGCACTGCAGCTAATTGAATAAAAGCTGCATGAAAGGGAATCCCCATTCAAGGTTTTCTTCAGAAGTTATAAAAAGCTGAATCATCAAAGGCAAAGCTTTCATTAACAGAACAACACAACATATTTGCATTTCAGTATCATATCAGAGTGTCTACTGTTATACTGCCATTGCCACTGAATATGCCAAAGTTTATTTTTGGGCTGGTAATCATGTACTACAGTCCTTCACATATTATTGAACTAGGGCTACAGGATTTCTCAATATTGGTTATTTTAGCTAGGTTTAGGGGAGTCATAGTCTTAAGAAATTCTTTAAAGCCACACAATTTCCACCCCTCCCTTAATTAGAAAAGAGACACTTGTGTTTTAGCATTCCCATAAAACAAACAGATTCTGCTTAACCTAGAAGAACAATGTTTTAAAAATGCTTCTGGCAGAGTTGTTCAAAAGTTATTTCGTTCTGTGAATTGCACATATTACATTATTTATGTCCATTAAGTTCTCATGCAACATGATCATAAAACATATATAGGTTGAGCATTCCTATCCAGAATTCCAAAATCCAAGATCTGAAATTGCTTGCATGGGTGGCTGGCATAGTGACATCTTTATATTGTCAAAGGCTTTCATGGCCAGAATCACTGGACTGCTGTAAGTTTTTCAGGTTGCATGGCCATGTTCTAGAAGCATTCTCTCCTGACATTTCACCCACACCTGTGGCAGGCATCCTCAGAGGTTGTGAGGTCTCACAGATGTGGGTGAAATGTCAGGAGAGAATGCTTCTAGAACATGGCCATATAGCCCGAAAAACCTACAGCAACCCAGTGACATCTTTACTGATAATTCAGTATCCACCAGCTGTATGAAAATGCTGTATATAAAATTACCTTCAAGCTATATTTATAAGCTACATATGAATAAATAAATTTTGTGTTTAGACTTGGCTGCAATCTCCAAGACATCAAAAATCGGGGGGGGGGGGGGGGCCAAAATCCAAAACACTTCTACTTCCAAGCATTTAAATAAGGGGTGCTCAATCTGTATTGATATATGCAGACTAAAATGGATATATCATATTTAAGGCTCACTTAACAACTTACCTTCACATTTCAATCCCTGCCGTACCAAGCCCCAAAGCATCTCTCCACAATAATCGCAAAAAGTAGGAGCCTTGTAAGAATGCACATAAAGCATATGAGGACGAATCTGGAAGTCTTCAACTGTAGCTAAAGCTTTTAAAAGGGAAAGTTGTTTTAAAAAAAGAAGAAGAATGAGTGCGATACTGTCCTTTTCTTGCATTGACTGAACTAGGTTTTAATAGAACTGATAGTTTCAGTAAAAATACTGCTTGTGTAGAAACTAACAGATATGCTCAATATTCTAATAAACATGCATCAAGAAACATATGTCTGTATTCATTTTTTTTTTTGATGGGCCAAATGACATTTCTAAACTTGGCCAAGATGTCATACAACATTGAAAGAGAAAAACAGCAGTCAAATAGAGTGCTTTTGACTTAACCAGCAACACAAATAGGAATGAATTTTGGCTTGTGGCCTTAGGCACACCACCACTTCTGCAAGTTGTATGACAAGTTGCACAACTGGAAATATAGGGACATTGGAGACTGCCTTCTCTGCTCTGGCACAGTATTTATGGAAAACCTTTTGGACGCCAGATTGGGACCAATGCTGGTTTCTTTTAGGCATCAAGTGTTTTTTTAAAGAAACCTTTGGAGCTTAATCTTTATTACTTTTTAAAGTAAAACATTTTAATAATTTCTGCTCTTTTAATATACCATAGTTAATTGTTTTAGTCTTTTCCAATGGTTTAATATTGTTGTTTATTTACTATATTTTATTCCGTTTAAATTATTCTGTTTTAATCTCGAACTGTTTTAACCTGTTATATTGTTTTGTTTTTATGTTATCCTGAAATATCACAAGACTGTGCAGGATATAAATATTTTAATTATATGCAAAAGGTCCCCCCTTCTGTATAACCTGGAATTAGTCATGAGCATAATATCATTTGCTGGTAGAATTTCTTAGCTCTTACTTCCCAGTATCTAGTATCTATCGCTAATTCTATAACATTAAGATAATATAAATGAAACAGTTTGTTTCTAATGGTTGAAGAGTTTTTACACCATCCCTAGTAAAAGCTGGTTCAGTAAACTCTCATTTCATCCATTTTTGTCAAGTAACCTTTAATAAATGATTATGTATTTGACAAAATTAAACCAGTTCAATGCAAAAGTCAAATTGTGGTTTTGTGCACATAGGACCCTCTCTTTGGAGAATAAGAGTGTCTCACTGGAAATTTCAATATTCTTACCAGATAGGACAACCTCAATGAGATCACCTTCATGTATCTCTTCAGCTGATGTAATCCGCTGTAAAATATTTTCTGAGTTCAGATCATGGCGGAATAGGAGAATTTTGTCATACATACCGAAAAACCCACACTCTGGAAACTGCAAACAAAAATGAAGCAGAGTCCAAATTAGAAAATACTATAAATACGTTTAATGGATTGTGTTAGTGCTATGATATATCACAACTATTTTAAAAAGCAATCCTTCAAATAAATATTACACACAACGATAGTGCATATTTTAATATCATTTACCATACTACTGGTGGCTGATTTAGAGATGCTGAACATACTGAATGGGCTAGGATCTCCATCAAAAAGATGGAGGGCTAAAATTGATTCATAAATTGGGGCCAGTCATCACACTGTACATTCATATTTGCATAAAGAAGCAGTCAAAATGTATGGTTGCATGTTGAAAATTTGAATGAGAAAATGCATGAATTCTTAAAAGTATTCTTGGAAATTGGTTTTGGCAAAGAGAGCCATAAGCAAAACATCTGTGTATCATTCTCTCAAATCTTCCAGCAGACTTGACAAAATAAAAAGTCATATTTCCCATGTTTTGTATTTTTGAAGTGAGGAAAGTTAATTTACTTGGAAAGACAATGATAAAACACTACAGCAACTGTTCTTATAGAGCTAAATACATAAATGAACAAGAAATATCAGGCCCTTTGGAGTCTAAACACAAAACTGCATAATTTTGTTCGCATTTAACTTGTCAGTCTAAATCAGTGTTTCTCAGCCTTCCTAATGTCGAAACCCCTTAATACAGTTCCTCATGTTGTGGTGACCCCCAACCATAAAATTATTTTCATTGCTACTTCATAACTGTAATTTTGCTACTGTTATGAATTGTAATGTAAATATCTGATATGCAGTATGTATTTTCATTGATTAATTAATTAATTAATTTATTTATTTGGAGCATTTATTAACCGCCATTCTCAGCCCACTCGGGCGACTCACGGCGGTGTACAGTACAAAAGGCAATTCACACAAAGACAAGTACAACAGCATATTAACCATACAACAATACAACAGTTAAAATTACACTAACTAATCTGCTTCGTCTCGTAATAGAATCGTGACCAATCTCGTATTCCTTGTACCATTCCAGTCGTCTTTACCACATTACTATAGCACTTAATTAAATGCCCTCTCGAACAGCCACGTCTTGAGGCTTTTTCGGAAGGACAAAAGAGAGGGCGCCTGCCTGATGTCTGTAGGGAGAGTGTTCCACAACCGGGGGGCCACCACTGAGAAGGCCCTCTCTCTCGTCCCCGCCAGGCGTGCCTGTGAGGCAGGCGGGATCGAGAGAAGGGCCTCCCCAGACAATCTCAAGGTCCTCGTGGGCTCATAGGCCAAGATGCGGTCTGAAAGGTATTTTGGGCCGGAGCCGTTTAGGGCTTTGTAGGCCAACACCAGCACCTTAAATTGGGCCCGGTAGCAAATCGGCAGCCAGTGGAGCTGGGACAACACAAATACCCAAGATGCCCCAATTTGAATACTGGTGGGGTTGGGGGGGTTGATTTTGTCACATGGGAGTTGTAGTTGCTGGGATTTATAGTTAATCTACCATCAAAGAGCATTCTGAACTCCACCAATGATGGAATTGAATCAAACTTGGCACACACAACTCCCATGATCAACAGAAAATACTGGAAGGATTTGGTGGGCATTGACCTTGAGTTTTGGAGTTTTAGTTCACCTACATCCAGAGAGCACTCTGGACTCAAACAATGATAGATCTGGACCAAACTTGGCACAAATATTTACTATGCCCAAATGTGATCACTAGTGGAGTTTGGGGGAAATAGACCTTGACATTTGGGAGTTGTAGTTGCTGGGATTTATAGTTCACCTACAATCAAGAGGCCAGCCGTTCACAGCAGAGGAGGGCTTTAGGTGAGAGGATTTGCCGTCTCTTTTCAAAAAGGAAGAGAAGGACAGGCAGAGAGCGCGTCGGCCTTCTCTGTTAAAGAGATTCCTAAGACCATCAGAAATATATGGTCACGAGGGGGTTTCAACCCTCCTGAAACCCCCTCGTGACCCCCCCAGGGGTCCCCAACCCCCAGGTTGAGAAACACTGGTCTAAATTACTAGAATGTTGGACACTTCAATCTGTTCCTTGGCACACTGGTTTAGTCCCAAACAAAACGCACAAAAGCAACAGCAAATGTGTACATAATTTCTCATTTAACCCCAAATCTGTTTTCACTAAGAGCCTCACAAAACTGAACAGAAGGGCTATGAACTGAGTTATCTAGGGGAGGGAGAAAGCATTCAGGTAGGCAAGGGTCTATCAGGAGAAAATACCCCAACTGGTATAAAGAGCGCTGGGCAAAAAGTCTAAGAACTCATCGTAAATAAGCAGTTAGGGGGTGGGGAAATAGTCCATGGTCTTTGGTGTCTCTACACTAATGCATAAAGCATGGGAAATAAACAAGATAATTTTGAACTCTTACTACAACAGAGCAAATGCAATATAATAAGCATCACTGAAACCTCATGGGACAAGTCTCATGATTGAATAGAGGGGTATAACCTATTTCTGATAATTACACCAAACAGGAAAGGAGGAGGAGTAGCATTGTTGACACCTGTGTGGAGTTCCACAATGTAAATTCTGGAAGCCAGGTTGAGAGTAGGTTCTACTACAGACCTCCAAGCCAGACTGAGGATCTAGATGATGCCTTCCTACTAGATGAGATTACACTATCCCTGAAAACACAGTGCTGAGCCTGGAAGCCAGGTTTCTGAGGTGTTAAGAGTGCTTTGAACTCCATGAGATGCCATATCTGACCATGTTGGTACATGCTCCACTTGGATGACTGTAATGGGTTCTATGTGAGGCTAACTTTGAAGAGTGTTTGAAAACTTCAACTGGTACAAAGAGCTACAGCCAAACTGTTAACCGGGACTGGCTACAGGGAGTGCACAACATGACGTCGCTGTTGCACTAGCTTCACTGGATGCAGTTTGCTTCTGGAAACAATCCAAAGTGCTGGTCATGACCTATACAGCCCTTTACAGCTCAGACTCAGGCTATCTGGCAGATCACATCTCCCAGTATCACCCTGCCTGGGCTCTGAGATCCTTAGGAGAAACCTTTCTCAGTTACACCACCACCACAAACACAGTTGAGGGAGAAGCAATATAGAACTTTCTCTATGCCAGAATGGCTCCTTCCTGCTTTCCTCTTGGTAGCAGGTTAAAACCTTTCTTTCCAGGCATGATTTTAAGAAGAACATTTTAAAGACTGATACAGTTTTTATGTATTTTAGTAGATCTTTAATTGTTTTAACTATTTTAACACTTCTATGTTTAATTCTATTTTAATGTTTATATGTTTTGGTTTAAAATTGTACATGTTATAAGCATTCTTAGTTGTATAAATTTCTTTTAAAAGAGAAAAGTGAAATGGTCATCAACTTCTTCTTCTGGACAATGTTGTTTTCTGTAAGGCATAATTTGCTGGTTCCTATATTTTTGGAAGAGTTAGACTTCCAACAAATACCAGAATAACCGAAATCTATCTTTCTATTAATATTATCGCAGCTGCTAAATGTGTGCTGAGCTGAAAAAAATTACTGCCTGGCTCACTATTCTTTGCCCATAAGAAATACTATATCACCTTTTGCACAACAGCTTACCCTTTAATTCACATGATAAACAATAAAGAATAATAATAACTTCTAAACAATATTTCTATTAATGTATTGTCAAAGGCTTTCATGGCTGGAATCACTCAGTTCTTGTGGGTTTTTTCGGGCTATATGACCATGTTCTAGAGGCATTTCTCCTGACATTTCGCCTGCATCTATGGCAAGCATCCTCAGAGGTGAGGTCTGCTTAGTACATTCTGAATATTCCAGCAGACCTCACCTCTGAGGGTGCTTGCCATAGATGCAGGCGAAACGTCAGGAGAAATGCCTCTAGAACATGGCCATATAGCCCGAAAAAACCCACAAGAACTGAATATTTCTATTATATAATCACAATTTACAGAAATGTATTCCTGCAATCTTACCACTACATTTCTAGATTTAGTTTGTAATTTTTGTTTGCTTATATTCAAGCGTTTGAGTGAAGCCAGTTAAGAACAACCTTTTAAAGATGAGCTCATCCACACTGTCTTTAACCTTAACAAGTAGGCATATTTCAGCTTAGTACATTCTGAATCAAGTACCAGTTGACTGTACACAGCAGGACCTTGACAACAATACACAGCACAAAGAGTTACCATAAGTATTCACCAATAAGAAATGCACCCACAGTTATAAGTCTAAAAATAGTTTCTAATACAATGACCTCAAAATGCTCCCATTACTAGCCAACCTAATGCTCCATCATGCCACCTCCAATATGTCTACGGCATACTCTGTTCTTGTCAAGGAACTTTGTTCCCAAGTAACACCAAATTCATTGCAATTCCTTTCAATTCTGATTACTTCAACTCTGTGGACTTATTTGTATATAACTATAATTCAAAATCTGAATTATTATAAAATGTTTTCCTCTTCTGGCCACTTTTAAAATATTTTCCAAATACTTCCCCATCTTCAACAACAAAAGTATACACACAATGAACTACTTTGCAAGTGCTGTTACCAAACTCCACAGTTCTATATCTGTTATTTTATTGTTTTGTTCAGTTTCTAGGAATCACTTCAAACAATCAAAAATGTCATAACGAAATGTGGACATCTTTCAGATCACCATCCATTGTGGAGAAAACTTAAGATCACAATGAACTAACTGGTGAACATGAGAGAAAAATCTTAGACACTATGAAGAAGGTAGGATATTCTTATCCAAACATGCAAAGAGAAGAGAGAAATCACTGCAAGAAAAGAATGGAGTAGCCAGATGACCAAAGAAGGCACAGAGAAGAAAGAACACTACTTGTTTTATTATCTTCAGTACCATCAACCCCAAACAATGAATGTAAAGATGCCTGAAGTACAGTCCATAAAGATCTGTATAGTATTACTTTTTGCAAAGTCATGATCTATGTTCTGTTTTTCATCAGATGATTCACTGAATGCTTCATCTTTAATCCAAACAGTTCTTCCAAAACACAGTCAACAAAAC